GCGGCTGAGCTTTGTCAACACCGCTTGTTTGGCCTTGCGCAGGGCGCTCATGCGCGCACCGGCATCCTCCGCAAAGTGGCGGTGGGCCTCTTCCTGTTCAATGTTGCGCTGCACAGTGGAGATGCCCTCGTCAGGAGGAGTTGAGCGGCGGCCGGAGGGATCATATGTTGCCGGTTGTAGTAGAACCGGCTTGGGGTCGTTGTTTAGAATTGGTCCGATGATGGGGATATGCACAGTGGAGGCGCGGCTGCCCTCGTACTCGAAAGATCGGTTCAAGGTAGGACGGGATTCCTTGCGGTGGCGGCGGAAGGAAAGTGAAGATTTGATTGAGAGTGGGAGTGGGAATGACGACTGCTCAGAAACCTCGGAGGATCTATCGTCGTCGCTGTCATATTTAGGATGCTTTCTGTGTCGGCGTCGCGAGTGCTTCCTGGTAAATTTCGTGGTGAAGCCCAAGCTTGATTCTGATCCGATTGTTGATTCTTGAGGCAGCCCATAGAGGATATCTCGCTCTTCGTCGCAGAGATGGAAAGCGTTAAATTCTTCGTCGAGAAGGTCTCTGCTGGCAGCCTCCGCGGCAGCACTTGGGAAGGAAAGGTCTTCCGAGCTGTCGCTGCTGACGAAGCTGGCTTCTGATGATGCTGCGGTGGAGCTGCTTCGCGACCACAATGAATCCTTGTCCAGGGGAGACAGAGCCTCATCCCAGTTGCCCTTGTTTGTGAGCACGACATTTGCAAAGTCGAACTCCTTGACGGTCTCCCGGTGTGATCTGATTAATCCCTTGAGTTGCGGCGCATTCATAGCCGCATTGCGGATTTGCAGGAAGCGAAGCTTTGGGAAGTGGATGGGGGACCGCATTGGTATCTCTGGCAGAGGTGACATGGGGGATGTTACCTCGTGGAATAGCTTCCTGGAAACCCTGCCCGGCGCAAAGAGAGGATCGTCCGAGAGGGCCACTGGGCAGGGTCCTTTGCTGCCTCGCCATGTGAAGCTCAGCTTCTCAAGTGTTGGCGCAAATGAGCGAAGGTAGTCATCAATGACCTTGAGGTGGTCAAGCCCGGGAGATGCACCATAAAAGTCCCAGGCTTCAACTGAAATGTACAACTTCTTGATCTGCTTCCACCTGCGCGAAGAGGATGGGACAGACCCATAGCCTGGGACATGGCGCAAGTAGTTGAATGCGGCAGGGTGGACTGAAGACAAGGATAGCTTAGACAGCTTGGTCAAGGGTGCGCGCTCTAGAGATATGCGTAAACTGATGAGAGCGTAGTCAACAATGTTCCTTCTGTACCTCTCCTGAGGATCTTGGCCGGGGCACCAGACAGTCAGATGTCTCATGTTGGGCATCGACTTCATGGCATTGATGAAGCTGGGAACATTGGTGGCGGAGTGGAACAAGGGAGGATATTGTTGCGTCAAGATGTCACCCAGTTGTGAGTTGCCGTATTTTGGGCGGACCAGGACCTGGCTGAGACTTGTAAGTGGCGTATATAGAAATGAGATCTCATTGCCGGTCTCAGGGTGAATCAGTGGCGGGAGAAAGGTATCCTCGGAGTGAGGAAAGTAAAAGGTGAGATGTTCGATGTGCTGGCCGATACGGGCAAGTGCTGTAAGTCTGCATTGTTTGGTGAAGGTACTGGGGGTGAAGGTCACATGAACGCGAGTAAAGAGACGCTTTGTGACCTGGTTACAGCAGGAGGACGAGGTTGACCGGAGGGCACAGATATCTGCAGTCGACAGATATGGGAATAGGTGGTTCTTGAAGCGATCGCTTCTCAGAAGGGTGGAAAACAGCTGCTCGGTGGAGGACGCCATGACCCTGGCATTGCTTGGGAACCAACTATCTGAATCAATTTCCAAGATGCGCAAAGGCAAAGGGTCCGAACACTAGCTGAGGGTATAGGGCTTGCAATAGTTTGTCTTGGTTTCTTCTTTGGGGATCTGGAGTGTGGCGGTGCGTTGCGGTGGAGGGCAGCAACAATAGGTTGGAACAGGAGATAAACAGATGTCTCGGGGCTCATATAACAATTGAAAAGAACAATTGAAGAAAAGGAAGCAAAGTTGGGACCAGCCAGTTGAAATTCACAAATATCATACACTTTACAGTGGAGGTAAACAGAAGCAAGAGAGAGGACGAAAGGACAGCCGCATCGAAGGGCCGGATTCTTAAGTTTATGAGCGATAGCAGTCCCACACAAAATCAGCATCGAGGCGAAGGGTCAGAACCCTGTCGTCCCCCCCTCTCGGTTGCTCGAGAGAGGAGGAAGCAAAAGATCCGGTGCATCGCGAAACCCGCCCAAGCCAAAATCGACTGGCCAGTGAGTCACGACAAGCCAGACGGCATGCATCTAGACGGGGGGATGGGACCAAGTAGTGGTGGTGCCACGGGAGGTTTCGCGACCGTGTTGTCATCGCGCACGCCACGCTGGTTGGCCGGCAAAGGCCTCAATGCCCCGCATGAAGCATGGCCCTCCCAGTGCCGGCTGCAGAGTGTCTCATGGTCGCAGCAGCGCTGGCCAGTCGGATGGGCATCGGCTTCAAACTTGCAGATGGTGGGGAAGATGGACCAGGATGGGCGGGCCCCAAAAAGGCAAATGGCTGGGACGAAGGAGCGACCCTTTCGGGCCACTTGCCAACAACGCGGGATGTGGGTCCGCTCCAGAAAAGAGGCTCTGCCCAATCACACGCCCGCCGCCGCGTTGCTTGCGACGCGACAGCCGTTTGATCGACGCGCATCGCCTCGCGGCTGGCGCCTGTAGGCGCGATGTGTGTAAGTCGGATTTCACAACATTGGCAACGATATATAAAGCGCCGGCTGCGGCGCTGTTGCGCGACGTCTGGGGCGTGATATTCGCGCAGCTGCTGCTCCCAAAACAGGCCGGCCTCGAATTTTCGGATCTTCTCTAGGGGAATTCGGTGCAAATCATCTGTGCAGCCCTATTCCACGCGCTGTAAGGAGCAAGACCTATGCAAGACCGCGCTGGCAGCCTCCGACTCGCCAGTCGGTGTCCTATCCACGATCAAGCACACCGGACCGGACCCACACCACCCGCCTCAAACATGGAGAGCATTTGGCCATGAGCACCCGCCCGTGGCATATAGCATGGCATGATCCCCAGGGCCCTGGATGCCACTGTCTGGCGCTGCACCTCCACCACCAGACAGCCTTGGTTTCGTGACTGGTGCTGCGTCCCCCAAAACTTCCAGCTGCCAGCAAAGCCCGCAGCCCCTGCTTCGCCCGTCCCGAAACCTGTGTGATACACCTTTCAGAGCCCTCTACTACTGCGTATTCGGCAACTGGAACACCCTGTTGGTAGTCGCTGCAGTCGCTGCGGTCCCCATTGATGATTTGTTGTCCTGCGGGATCTACGCCAGTCCGCTGGAACACAGACCGTCATGCAAGCCAGGTATGATGAATCAATCCAACGTCGGCCGGGCTACTTGAAGAAATTTCTTTCAAACGACCAGGCTTGCCCTGAACGACATCCCTCCAGGGTCCAATAACTATCCCCAATTCCGCCTCGTAGCATCTCAGGCCGGGCATGTTCACTAAGTTCAGTTCAATGCAATACCATGCACTCACTGACGTGGCTCATTGGGGCCGCCTGTGCGTTGCGTTCGTTTGTCACACTCCAGGGATCATAATTTTCTGTTTCCCCTGTCGCTGTGGCTGTTACACCACGTCTTCTAAGAACAACCAAGATGTGATACCCCGACCGATAGTCTCGGATGCTAGTGCTGGGTATTTTTATCTACCCTGAAAGTGACTAGATCACTATTTAGATATCTCGTATTCGCTGTCCTGCCGTTCCGATGATTTTTTTTCTTTTACACCGAATAATGATCCCTGGAAAATGTGCGAACTAAATACTCTTCATCCCTTGTATTTAATTTTTTTTCGCACAAACTATGACTCCAACGTCTGACCCTGGAAGACCGACTATTGCGACAGGTATGGGTTACCATGTAAAACCGCGGTAAACGTGTAATTGAATGATGCCTCTGCAGACGCTCCCTTGACGCGCTATTTCTTACCTTGCGTGTGGTAATTCTATAATCATAATTTGCCAACCGAGCACCATTCCCATAATACTTTTGAAACACCCCTGCCCGATGCGATCTCCATAGAACTTATCATATACACAACTGCATTAGAGTTCAGCCGGTGGCTCAAACCTAGTTGTTCCTCCCACGGCCTCCTCTTCCCCTACCCCTTCCTCTGCCACCACCACCACGCCCTCCTGCACGTGACCCACCTCTGCTCGATCCAGATTGATTGGATGGGCGCCCGCTGTCTCCGTTCCAGGGTGGTGGCATTCGGTGCGGTGGGGGTGGTGGCACGCGATGATAGTCCCGACCAGGGGGACGGGGCGGCAATGACGAAGGTGGCCTCGCTGGTAGAGAATCAATGGACGACGCACCAGGGGGTGGTCGAGCATCATAAGATGACTGCAGATGTGATGGAGGGTCTGAAGGTGGAGGTCCAGGAGGAAGGGGAGGTTGCCAAGAAGCACCAGCGGGCGCATTCCGTGGCATTTGGATGTTGCTCGCCATTCGAATGGAGCCCACATTGCCACGTTTGGCTGGGGGCCTCTTACCCAGAAACTCGACGTCTGAGTCGTCGCTCTCTGAGTAATGAACTGCAGCGCCTCTAGCTGCACGGCCTCTGATTTGTACCTGTGATTTCTGCGCGACACTGGGCCCATTAGCCAAACGGGTAGCTTCTCCTTCGACGGTCAGTGAATTGCAGCCCGAATCCACATATCTGCTTCGATTTTTGAGGGACCACGTGGGGTTTGATGCTGAACCTCGCCTATCCGGACAGTCGGACGAGTAATGCAGCGAATCACCACATAGTCCGCATGATGGCTGGAGGTCCTGCACAACCTGGATGGGTGAGTCATCAGGTGAAAATGACCGCCAAACCTCTGTGCATTCGTCCTCGAGGTGATCGTCGGCGCCACAAAAGCTACAGGCCAGTCCCTCATCCTTGGTCAAGGCTAGCTTCTCTTGACAATCAGCGGCACCATGACCAAGTTGACGACATTTCCCGCACCTGGCCCTTGTAGGGCAGCTAAAGTCCCAGTGCCCGTCGCTGCTGCAGAACTTACAAGCCGCCTTGGAACAATTGGCTGAGAGGTGTCCCGCGCCCCCACACCGAAGACACATGATGGCGGATTCGCTTGCGCTGGGAAAGTATTTTCGAATCATGGCCATTTCTTCCTCTGCAACTACAGGGTGGCTTGTGTCGTCCGAGATCCTTTCACCAACAAAGTCTTGTTGGGAAGCAACGGGATTTCCGTTGGGCTCCAGGGTACTTGGCGCAGTAAAAGGGGTTCCAACCGGTGGCTCATATTCCTCCTCGCTCTCCGAGACAAGGTCTATCGTCTCCTTTGCCGCAGCGGGCTGCTGATTCCTGGGATGACTGGCCTTCGGAGGCGGTCTAGACTGTTGAGAGAGGTTCGTCGACCTTACTTGGCTCTCAAGAGTTCCGGATTCTTCAACGTGTTTCGCGGCCTGCTTGGCGTTTCGCTTCTTCTTCGTCTTCAAACCTGAATTCATATCAAGATAGTGCATGTAGGCTGACTGGACGAGGGTCGGCGTCAGCAAAGGTCCGTGTGTGGCATTGCTAACGCAAAAGACGGTCACCCAGTCTTTGAAACGAACGTCCCACGAACCCTCCCTCTTACTAGAAAAGACAGGAAGCACGAAGGTGGCGTCCTTGTCGTTGTATACTGGCCCATTTGGAGGAATGAACGCTCCGGATGGCTTTGGTTTTCCAGACTTTTGCTCACTGTCCATGATTTCCTCTGGTGCTGAAGGTTGGTCCAGTTGGTCCCTCGTTTCGTCAATCTCTCCTTCCTCGGACGCGCCAGAGCCCGTTGATCCAGTCCGGGTGGACGATCTAGTTTTTGCACGTTTGTGCGGGTGAAAAGTGCCTTCTACCACGTGCGAACCATTCGAGGCGCGGCGCGACCTCTTTTGGCCCTGGGGGGCCTCATCTTCACTTGAGGATAGGGTGATAACGTCACCAAGGAGGCCGTCGTCTTCTAAACTCATGGTGAAAATAGCCCAGCCAGCGGGAGCAGCCTGTGCAGCCCGTTTGCACGTGTCAAAGGGGATAGGTAGTGTGTGAAAGGGAGCGATACTTGCAGTAGAGGTGCGTTCCAATTCCTTAGGGCGCCGGATAGGCAAGCAAATACCTCTGATACCTACTGTGCAATAAGCAGGAGCAACCAGGCTGGTTTGAGTACAACGACCAGTACTGAAGCTCTCTGGGGTTGAGTTGTTCGGCCAGTTGACACCATCCGAGAAGTTCTCCTTGGTAGATTCTTAGTCCTAAAAGACTTTCGCTCTGGTGGAGAAGCGCTTGTTCCACCTGTGATTGGTATCCACCGACAGGTAGTGCACCGATACACCTGTCCTCTCGCCTTGACCACAGGTCTGGGTGCTTCGAGCTTTGAGGAATCAGGAATAGCTTGGGAAAATCGAACTTGGCAAATCAGCAGGGCCTGCAATTTATGTTCCCCAGGTCGTGTTGCGTCAGGCCTGCATGCAGATTCGGCCTAAGGCTCACGAAACGTTTCCTGATACCTGAGTCTACCGAAAAAAATTTACTGGTCCAATCAACGGGTATCCGATAGTGCTTACCTAAGTGTATTGCCGAATACTGACCACCCTTGCCACCCTCCGAACGGGCAGTCTTGCCAGTGCAACATTCCGAAGCAGACACACCGATATTGGTGAGCGTTGTAACTCTCTGCTTGGGCTGCGCTGGGGAGGTACTTGTCAACGTGATTTGCTCATATAACTTGGCCAGGCTACCAGGCCGCTATGCTAGGGCTGGCTTCTAGATCCATCTCCGGTATACGGTCGGTCCTGCTCTGGGCTCGGGGGGGCCCATCCCTGCCCAAGAGAGAGCGGCCTGACGCCTGCCGACCCCTTAAAACTCCCAGATAACCAGCGAGATCGCGAAGTAAACGAGCCTGCGCATAATCGCACGATCTCACGAACCAGCCCATCTGGAATCATGAGCAGTGCAGGGTAGCACGGGCGATGCTGGCCTCGATCAGGTGTCGTATCGAATCGGCTGTCACTCCAGACAAATATTACAGCGGGCGGGGCAACTGCCTGCTTTAGTGAAGCTCCCCCAAGTTCCTCGCAACCTACAGGCAATAAAAGCCCCCGATGCAGGGCTGCAGCGTGGGTCCCTGTGGCCACCTACCGATTGGAACCCCTTCCTGCCTGCCCATCGAGCGACATTGGAGCCTCTCATCAAATAGGAGCAGTCCCACGCGTCACCTGTCATTTTCACACTTGCCATCATCACCAGCATCATATTTCCCCTCATCCGACCCCCGACTGGATGAGCCGCCTGCTCTGTACCGTTTAATTCATTCCTCCCTGTATTAATCCTTTTATCTAATTCTAGCCTCTCGTTTATCCATTTTGCAATTTCCAGCTGGCCTTGACATCATCAGGGGCACGCCATTACTTATCCTCCCTCCACTTCCAGAACCATATTCTACACCCCCCATATTCAAACTTCACGCTGCCGCCGCATCTCAGGTCGCCGCCCAAGTTGCACCCGCCATCCAAGGCTCTTCATTGACCCTTCATTCGCCTCCCGCAGTGCTTTACTTGGCTTGTCCCTCTTTCCCGTAGCTACCGGCCGCCCTTGGGAGAGTTCTAGATTTGCCTGCTCCTTTATGAGCATCCCCAAACAACCCGAAGCCATACTCGACAATACCGCCAAGCTGTCTTCCCCAATCCTCCTCCAGCGCACCGTCACCTTTGACGCGGGCAACGACCCCCCGCGGAACGGAAGCGCCTATCTCAACATGTCCGATCGAAACACCGGGGCCCGAAGGAGGAGATCTAGCAGCATCCTCCAGGTCTATCATGAACCCCCCGAGACTCTCGAGCAGATCAGTGATCAGGCATCTCTGCCGAACTTGAACGCAAACTGGACTAATGCCAAAGGTAAGCCTCCTTAGCTCCCCCCCCTTTCCCCTCCGCTATAGTCGTCCGCTCCAAGGCCAAAGTGGCTGACCAATATACTTACTTTGTGTAGGAGCATGGACGATTCACCTTGTCCTCATAGCTGGCCTCAAAATCTTCTACGACGTCATCCCCGGTGTCTCACAGGAGACTTCATGGACGCTGACCAACATCACATATATGTTTGGCTCATACATCATGTTCCATCATGTTCGCGGAGTTCCCTTCGACTTCAACAGTGGTGCCTTCGACAATTTGAACATGTGGGAACAAATCGACAATGGAGCTCAATACACCCCGACCAAGAAGTTCCTGCTCAGTGTACCGATCATGTTGTTTCTACTGAGCACGCACTATACCCACTACGATTTGGCATACTTCTCTATCAATTTCCTTGCAGTACTTGGGGTCGTTATCCCTAAACTTCCTTTTGTACGTTGGCTCAAACTATCGTCGCTTATACCCACACCCTCCAACCCCCCATGTTTGTTTGTTTGTTTTTTTGTTTGTTTGTTTGTTTGTTTATTTATTGCCCATCCACCTTACATGGTATCCCGTCTTCAGGAACTAACTTTTCAATTTCTCCAGAGTCATCGGATGCGCTTCGGGCTTTTCTCAGGAGTTCCCGAAGAATAGGTCATGGGTGCATGTGGGCGTTTGGGTAAGATACCCGGCGGGGCGTACCGAATTCGAAACTGAAAAAGAGAGGAACACAGGACGCAGAATAAGATGGCAAAAAGACTGTTGATTTAATCATATCATAGCGAACGTTTCCGCAGCGCAGGGCTCTTGGTACCCTTGTACTATATTCACACCCAGCGCTAAGGAGATGAATTGGATTTTCTCTCTCTACACTACCTATCTCTCTTCAGGCCCGCATAAGTGATGTTCGCGACTCCAAAGAACCCTGGTGGTTGGGGGATTTAAGTTGGCCATGGAGCCCCTTATCCCGCAAGATAGTTTGCTCTCGCAGGTATAAAGGTTTGGCAAAGCTTGTTTTTCATCCTAAACCAATGGTCATAACGATCCAATTGGCCCGTTTGGCTGGAGGAGGATGCTAGTTGCGGCCTCACTAGCTCCGACACGCTCCATTTATCGCGATGTTGAGCAATTGAGTTTGGCCGGATGATCTCCCTCACTTGCCAAACTACGCGCGCTTTTCCGTCAGGAAGACGCGATGGCTCGAGTGATTTCGGGAGAGTTTCTCTCTATAAAACGAGGCACTCCGTCAGCAGGTTGAAGATGTCAAACCGAGTCTATCTACACTCGTTTCCCCTACCGGCGCTGAGTTGCCCAGCCCTCTGTTCATTATAACTCTGTTTGATAAACCGCTCGCTCACAATGCGTCCCAATAGCATCTTGGCTGCCCTGGCCATCCTCAATGGCCTGGCCTCTGCCAGCGCTATCATTTACCCCAAGCATGGTGAAAAGGACGTCTTCAAGCATGATGGCCTTCGCCATAAGGACCACCAAAAGGGCTACCACAAGGACTACTTCAAGGACCAACACAGGGACCACCACAGGGACAAGCACCACAAGGACGCCCACGTTGAGGTTGACAAGTTCAAGATCAAGGATGACATCAAGTGCCCCCACAAGCATGAACATCACTGCAAGGGTGATCACTGTGACAGGAAGTCCTGCCATGAGTGCAAAGGCGAGTGGGCCAAGCCCGGATGCCAGCACTGCAAGCCCGAGAGGCCTTGCCACGGCCCCAACTGTCACCGTCACCACAAGTACGTGGACGTTGAAGTCATCAAGGAGAAGGAGAAGGAGAGGCCGAAGCAGGTTGAGGTAATCAAGGAGCTCAAGGAGAAGGAGGTCATCAAGGAGCTCATTGAGAAGGAGAAGGAGAAGGAGATCATCAGGGAGAAGGAGAACGCGATCATCAAGGAGAAGGACAATAAGATCATCAAGGAGAAGGACAATGAGATCATCAAGGAGAAGGATGATAAGATCATCAAGGAGGAGAAGCCTCAGACGCTGATCAAGGTGGAGACCAAGGTCAAGGTTGAGACTAAGCCTTGCATCACCCAGACTCAGGTGCAAGTCCAGACCCAGACCGTCGTCCAGAAGGCCACTGCTTCTCCCCCTTGCCCCTCTCTACCCCTTCCCCCGGTCAAGAACATCACTCCTCCAGTTCCTTGCCCTCAGCCTCCAGCTCCGGTTCCCGTTCCCGTTCCTGTACCCCAGCCGGCTCCGAAGCAGCCTTCGCCATCTTGCCCCCAGCCTCAGCAGCCCAAGCCCTCTTCGGCGCCTGCACCTGGTCCGGCACCAGCTCCTGCTCCTTGTCCTCAACCTCAACCCCAGCCTCAACCTCAGCCTCAACCTCGGCCTCAACCCCAGCCTTGCCCGCAGCCGCAACCTCAACCTCAACCTCAACAGCCTTGCCCGCAGCCTCAACCTCAACCTCAGCCTCAACCCCAACCCCAACCTCAACCTCAACCTCAACCTCAGCAGCCTTGCCCGCAGCCTCAACCTCAACCTCAGCCTCAACCTCGGCCTCAACCCCAGCCGCAGCCGCAGCCTCAACCTCAGCAGCCTTGCCCGCAACCCCAGCCGCAACCCCAGCCTCAACCTCGACCCCAGCCGCAGCCTCAACCCCAACCTCAACCCCAACCTCAACCTCAGCAGCCTTGTCCCCAGCCTCAGCAACCCCAGCCGGCCCCGGCTCCGGCTCCTGCGCCAGCTCCTGCTCCAGCTCCCGCGCCCAAGCCTGCACCAGCTCCAGCACCTGCACCTGCTCCAGCACCTGCACCTGCTCCAGCACCAGCACCGGCTCCGGCTCCGGCTCCAGCTCCTGCCCCAGCTCCTGCCCCAGCTCCTGCTCCTGCTCCTGCTCCTGCTCCTGCTCCAGCTCCAGCTCCAGCTCCAGCTCCTGCTCCAGCTCCTGCTCCTGCTCCTGCCCCAGCTCCTGCACCGGCACCGGCACCGGCACCCCCATCCCCTATTCGTCCACCACCAGCTCCTCCTTCCAACAACATCAGCGGCCCAAGCAGCCCAGTTCCGATCCCCGTTGCTGCTGGTGCGAAGAGCGTCATCTCCCTGGGCACTCTCGCCATCAGTCTTGTTGTGGGCTACTTCCTGTTCTAAGGTGGCCAAGACCCGAAGAGATTCAGAGATTGGGCCTCATGGCAATCTCTATAGGCGTCGTCCTGCTATTCCGTTCCCGGGACGACATGTCAAGCAAAAGGAGCGAGAGAAAAGCGTGAGAGGTGACAAAATAGTTGTTGATTTGGAATTAAAATAGGGAGGGAATCCTTGGAGACCCAACTTCACATAATTGGAATAATTGGTTGCAGCTACGAAGTTCTCCTAGGCCTGTAATTGGTGGCGTTCATATTTGCCTTCAGGGGTAGAATAGAGAGTGATATTGTAGCTACTGCATACCTACTATATTGACGCCAGTCTCACCTCTACAAAGGGAATCGACTCTGCATACAAGACTCGTGACTTGACGGCATGATTTGACGCCGCACATTGAACGGTCATGGGGTCGTTGAATATCCAGTTGTACATGTGGGTGAGAGTGACTTGGCACTTGGTGTCACCCAGCTTACGAATCCGACACTAATCACAGGTTTTCATGACTTGATTTTGAATTGTTTTGCATTGAATTGACTTTTTTTTATAGTTTGTCTAGTGAGAGGATCTGAAAGTCTAGCCCGCTCTATATAAAAATTGTACTTCGGCCCGAAGAGCCAGGAAAAGAAAAAGAGAAGAAATAAAAGAAAAGAAGAAGAAATGGAAAAGCAGGCTGTCGCTCTTGCTGATCCAGGAAAAAAAAAAATTAACACTGCTAACTCCGAAGATCGGGGCAGAGACAAAGTGTCCAAGCCCTGTATTGTTGCGCTGCTGGATAGAATGATCCCCCACTGCAACTTGAGATGTGCTTTTTGAGTATATGTATAGATTCAATGAAGGCCGTTCAATGACTGGGTATTTAAAGAAATGAGAAAAAAGGAAATGTGCCTTCTCTGCTGTTTGGGTTAGTACGCTTTGTTTTCTTAAACTCAGAATAGAGGGCCTGCTCACCTATAAGACAACTATGGTCCGGAGGAAGCCATAGTATGGGACTTGCTCAACAAGCAAGCTCCCTTAGTAGGAGACGTTGTCGCCGACCTTGCGCTCGTTGTTTCTTCGCTCACGGCGGCCGGCACAGCAGGTGAAGAGCATGAGGATGAAGGCAATGGCAGAGGCGATGGCGACGGCCAGGGAGAGGTAGTAGGTGACGCCGTACTTGGAGGAGCCGACCTCGGCGTCCTTGATGGCCTTGTCGAGGCTCTTGAACATGACGGCGTCGATGACCAGGGCGCAGATGTTGACGCCGGCGGCGAGCAGGCTGACCAGCGTGGCCATGATGGAGACGCAGGTGCCCTCGGGGAGACTCAGGAGGAAGGCGATGAAGGTGACGCCGGAGCCGATGGGGTGCATGATCAGGGCGACGCTCAGGGCCTTGAGGCCTGTCTCGGTCTCCCAGCTCCAGCTGTTGGTGGGCTGGGCGATGGTCTTCATGATGTCGGCGGCATCATAGCCGATCTTGGCCTTGGTGCATTGGAAGCTGGACGAAGAGATGGATCAGTATATTGAGTCGTCCAAGTTGCCGCCATGTGTGAAGACTTACACGCTGTCGACCTCCCAGCAGTATCCAAACACACCGAACCAGGCATTGTTGCCCGTCGTCAGGCTGAGGGTGGTGAATGAGAGAGACTTCTGGTTCGCCACAGGTGCTGAGATGTTGATGACGATGGTGAGGATCAGGGCCGCCATAAGAATGAACGACCCGATGAAGTGTACTGCGCTTCCGAAGCCCATTGTGACTGATGTTGCTGTAGTTTGGCGTGTTTGTTCCTTTTGGTTCCCGTGTTTCTCGAAGCTACTTTGGATGTAGGCTGAGTTTGTATACAGGTTGATGGTAGAGGAATGCAGGTATATATAAAGTCGCACAGTTGGTCGGGTGTGGTATAAATAAATGCGAGGGAGAGCCGATGACGACGACCTTTCTCCCTATAGAATGTCTTACAAGGTCCAATGCAAGGAATGTGCTACACTTGTCTACTGAACCAACGTCGTCTCGAACGTATTACTAGGGAGGACCGTCTGAGACTTTATTTATAGAGAACAGGAGGATCTTTGGCTGGGGTCGATCTGGCCAAGGCTTGCGCTACAGCACGATCAACCCATGTCGGACCACCCCCCGGCAGCTAAAAATTGTCGGCCCCAAGCTGAGCCTCCCCTGCTCGTCTGCAGCGTCATGCAGCCGGCACTTGGGCAGCGTCCACGGCCTGGGTGGGCTGCGGAGGGCCAGAAGGCCGTGGTGACACGGCGTTCCGACAAGCAACGAGCAGCGCACGCCGGCCACTGTGTCAACGCTGTCTTGGAGCCAGTCCGCCACTAACGCGAATACTGTGTACCTACCTAATGTACATACAGAGACACGCAATCACGGCCCGAAGCCGAGTCGTGAAAAAGAAAGAAGAAATTGGATCATCAGTCAAGCGTCGTCACTCGGCCCTCCGACTGTGGCTGGACTGCTGAGCCAACCGCTAAGCTCAGCTAAGCTCAGCCCTGGCGAGGCGTCGAAAGCACTAAATCGGGGCATTGGAGCATCAATCAATGGAAATCACATCGGCGACCCCTGATCCAGCGATGGTTTGGCTATCGTTGCGCTCCAGACAGATGCGGCCTCAGACGCGGATTACTGCATCAGACTCGGACAGACACACATAATAATAATACAGGCTCAATTGTTAACATGACTATCTCTGGGGTTGCAGGTTCGGAGGCATCGCATGAACCACATGAAGCAGAGCCCCTGGTCCTGCACGAAAATAGAAGCACCAATCAATCCATCACCCGTCTGTGGGGAGCCAATAGAGCTACTATTGCGGGTCAATCGTGCTGAGAACTTACGTTAGAGTCGATATCATTCACGTAGAGAGGTGAAACCATGAAGCCACTGTTCCCACTGTTGGGATGAATCCCCGACTGTATTACATGTCGCATTACTCTGTACCATCGCGACCGATGTCGATCAATACACACGGTGCCACTCACCGCCCTGCAGGCCATCATTGTTCCGAGTCGTGCCCATGGTAGCCTTGATCTCCGTGCAAATTGATCTGTCCTGCTGCTAAGTCGGACGGTGGACAAGACAATGCCTGTTTGAATCCACGTGTGTTCCAGGTTAAGTCGCGCCGTCCCTTCCAAGGACGGAACAGCCAAAGAGAGAGTCAAGTATTGACCATAATTATTGATTTTTATTCAATAATTGTTGGTTCTGAGAACCCTGAGTGCTGGCCCAACGAGCAAACAGACCCCACCTCCTAATTGCTCATTCGTATGAATATGACGAGCATCTATGCGGCGTTCGTCGCTCGACGCGTGGCACAGGCTGAGGTGAGGCAGAACATGATGAACAAGAATGGTCAAGAATTGGCACCAGATCCCTGCGAGTCCCCTGTGGGGTGCCTCCGAATTCCATCTTATTGCTGCCGCGCGTACCCCAGATCTGCTCATTCTCAATTTGAAGAGTCGTGATCCCACCCACTGGAATTCTCATCTTATGGCGTTCCGGCCTGATAACGGCTGTTTTTCCAACCAAGCTCGCTGCTTACACCGAGCTCGAGTAGTCTTGGGTTACTGGGCTTTTATTTGATTAAGAGCCCATTCCTCATAAAATAAATTGTATCGAGGTGGGCAGATTGATGGGTACCTAGTTAGGAGGCTCCGAGGTCCACCGGGACTTTCGTTGCCCTTGTCAGTTAGTTTTTCTGATATGTGATGATACCCATGTGGCCCGTCTGGCACCGCGAGAAAATTTCGCTTGAAGCTGCCTTTGCGCATCCATCTCCTGCCCGGCAAGTTGAATTTTGCTCGGGACCCAATTGAGCATTGTGCGACGGGACGTGATTTTCGGGATGGGGGTTCGAGTGTCAGCGTCGCCATCCCATCTCGAGAATCCCGCCTTTGCTACATTGTTGGGGAGGGACTGCGCCAGAGTGCTGGACATGAATGTCTCCCCCTGAGCCAGGGTTTTCGGCCATGACTGGTGCAGTTGCGTGTTCGCAAAGGTTCCGGCGTGGTTGTAGTCGCGTTCGGCGTAGATGTTTATCTGGAAGGTTCTCCGTTCCTGGCTAGTTACAGTTTGGTTGACACCGCTTCTGCTCGGATTGATTGTTGGTTTTGTTCCGTCGAGACGCCTGGGCTGAGCCAAGTCGGAGAACGAGAGGTCAGGGCTGTCTCCCTGTTCCAATGTGTACGTCATCGGGCTTGCCTCGATGAGTTTCCCGGCCGTCTCGGAGGTTTTCGTGACAGATATGAAGTTGGAGTGGTAGTTCTACCGCCCACGAGTTTCCGTCAGTAATAAGTCTGTATTCATCTGCGGTGGATGCCGGCGAGGCATTGCTACCGATTCCATGCCGGTGTCAACTTACAGGTGTCCTCTTGAACACTTCAATTGGGCCATGCTGTTCCAGAACTTGGAGGATGGACCTGCGTTCTGCAAAGGTCACTGGAGTTGGCGCGACGAGCACGCGCAAGCTCCGATCTCGATACGAGAGGTTCCCAGTCACCCAGCGACTTCGCGCAGCCATTATTGGGCCTGATCCGGTATTCCCTCCTGTGTATGCTCCTACCTGCTCAACAGCTGGGGCGCTTCGTGATGCGGGAGCCTCGGAATAGCCTTTTCACTGGTCAATGGAGTTTGTACTTGGAAATTCCGCCTGTGGAGCTTTAAGCAGAAGTAGTCAGTTACCCTATACCCATCCAGCGGCATGAAGATGAAAGCACCAAGCCATGTTCATATAAACCAGTCACTGTTCATGTCGGACATATGACTATAGACATATTTTTGTACTGGCTTTTGAGTTGTTTGCCATGTATCGGGTATTTCTATGTGTTGTTGTAGGAAGCTTCACATCCTTGACCTCAATATATCACCCAGCTCTTCCTAACTGTGCCCCTGGCAGAACTGAGAAATGAAAGAAACAAAACATCACGATACACCACGGGGATAAAAGGAACACACACAGCACGTTCCAAACAAGAATATCAAATTTGAACATCAAAGATGGCGCGATAGAGATTTAAGGGCTGGACATGCTGCGTAGATTAATCAACCATAAACTGGAAGGCACCTCAAACATGGGTAGGTTGGATCCACATTGAGGTTGGCGCCACTACTGCCTGTTCGACCATTGTTCGAGAAGCTTGACCTGATCAAACCAGCCATTCGCATTTACCTTGGACCTTACCACTGATTGAGAACGAATCGCCTAGCTTGGCACCTCTACCACTACAAGTTGACGACAGTTCCGTCATTAATCACAGGCCAGCGAGTAGCCCTCCGATGCATTGACGGATGCGCCCAGCTTGTGTTTCGCGAGTCTCAAGGCGGCGATCTCGTCTTGCCCGGACTTGGCAGCAACCACCTCGCCAGCCTTAAAAACCGAAGGAACTCTCGCTCGTCATGTCGACCCCGACTCCCATGAAGCATGGCATTTCCCAGCAAGGAAGGACGCCCTCACAGCTCGCAGCCGCGACACCGCCAGTTTCGACACCCTTCTCCAACCCTACCCAAACAGCCTTCTCCCCCCACGGTCCGCGGTCCTCCCCTCAGCATGTCAAGAAATCCCCGGCCACGATCCTGGGTAATATACCTCCAGGCGCCTTGAACTTCGACAGTCCCTCGACATTGGCAGCATTTGGGGGCCAGGCGTTTACTGACCACGAGTTTGAACAGCAGAAGCAACGCTTCGAGCAACAAAACCAGCAAGAACGCGCGTTCGCATCCGAAGCGGATAAACTCAAACGATTAGAAGACATCATGAGTGTTCTCAACGTCAGTGCAAACCACCAAGAAGAGTCACCTCTCCCACAAACTACAAGGCGCTAACAATTTGTAGAAGAAGAAGGGCCTGGTCAGCGAGGTGGGGTTGGAGCGTCTCGCCGAGCGGAACGGGTTCGATTGCCTGAAAGAAGACACAGTGGTTTCAGGAGGCCGAAAGCTGAAAACATTGGTCATAGCAGGATCCAGCACCCAAATCGACATCGTTTTGGACAACAACATCGTTCAGCATGTCACTCTCGCCTTTCCCGGGCTGCCAGAACCCACGGCGCGGTTAATGGAGCCGGCGAGCCAAATCCTTCTCCGGGACTTGAAGTTACGATCGAAACAGAGCCCATTAACCAAGGAGCTGGATAAATTTGCGTCAAATCTGGAAAGATTGGCAAAGCTTGATCAGCTCAGTATTGTGGAGGCTGGCTTCATCTGCCACGAGGCTCTGACAGGCATCTATAAAAGTCTACAAAGACTTCACGAATGGGACATATCGAAATTACGAGAGCAACCGTTATATTCTGGAAAGCCGCAGCAGTTTCTGGCTTTGCAAGCCATGTGTTCGGGACATGGTGTCCCTCTTTTGCATGCACGAGACCGTGTTGGATTGGCCTTGCAATACTGGAAGGAGCGCCGTTTTCTCCCACCCTCGGACGATAAGACTGCAGCATATGCCAGTGACGAGGAGAAAGTATGGTCCATGGTCATAGAGTGCGCAGCTATGGAAGGCCTTTCTGAGGCCCCAGCCAGGGTCTCTGATGATTGGATCTCCAAGACAATCTTAAAAGGAGGTGTTATGACTACCGACCCCCTGGATATTCACTCTTTGGACTGGCAGGAACCTGATACGGTGGCCCTACCTCCCCCCGAAGAAGGAAAGAAGGATAAAGGCGTGGACATACTTCAGCCAGACATGATGACCACCAAGCGAGTGCCCCAGGTCAAGTTTACGGCGACGTTTGACCCCCCAGTCATTCTCACCCACAGCGACTGGCTTCGACTGTATGAGTTCGTCAATGTCGAGGCGCCAACGCAATTTTCCTTCCCGCCTACTTTTGATGTGATGCACTTCCCCATACCCCCGGGATCGACTCACGACCCTAGCGAACTGCGTACCATTACGCGACAGAGGCGGGTCCGCGTCTTTGACAAGGATGGCAAGGAGCATGAAAAGACACACAAGAACACTTTATTCAACTACAAGCGGATTTATGGCATGTCGATTCAAGAACTAAACTTTGCCCACCCAAAGCAGCTTCTCGCCATGCTGCCACTCCTGAGGCAATACGCCTTTATTTCTATTCTGCTGGAGAATAGCTTCGGCAGTAAGACTCAGAGTTATGAAGCGAACGGTTCTCAACAGAAGCAAGATCTTGGAGCGGACCAGATCATGAGCACCAGGACAGAGGACGCCGAACTGGAGATGTTCCTTCAACAATCTGGTGAAAAATCTGGTGAAAATGGTGCCAAGGAGCCCCAATCGGCTACGGAACCTGAGGAAGGGGAAACTAATATGGACGTCATTCTCTGGGTCCATCCCACTCCGCGTTTGAAGGTTGTTTTCCCATTCAGATCAGCAACAGCGAATGTTGAGATGAATATTCTTCAGAACGGTATTGTGGAGGTGACTAATGATAATATTCTTGCCCCCGAGGGTCAGGACAACGGGGAGACTCGAAAAGATAAGGGAAAGGCACTCACGAGGGCAGATCTGGGCAAGACTCTCGAGTACCTGGAGGATCTGTGTAAATGGACAGAATGGATTCGCACTAGGTTATCCTGAACCAACCTCTTGGAGAGGCTTAGAGCGCAACCCGCGTGTGTTGATACCCCCAATAATACTAAATCACGAAGACTGCAAGGTCCCTGTTCCCGAGTCAGCTCCCTTCCGTTCCATCGGTAATTGTTCCCGCGTGCTCCTTACACAGTCCTTTCCCGACACGGAAGGGTTCTGTGTGCCTCGCGCACACCTGCAGGAGCCGGGCGGGGATTGACGTATCGTCTGTCGACTTTGGTCGTATTCAAATCGTAATGTCTCAGGGCCCAAGATCCAATAGCCTGTCAACACCACCGTCGGGCCCGATCCGACGCCGCCCACGAATTGAAGTCACCGCGGCTGCGAAGACCCTCGTTCCGCCTGCGCCCATCCACCTCCATCCATCGCTGATCAACGCCCACTGTGCGCCATCGTCACCCTTTTATGTCCTATATTTCTTCAGCCTGTCCCCGTGCCGTAGCGTGATTCGCCATGCGAGAACAGAGACTGGCCTCTCCCGCCCCCAAGCGTTCCTTGCTAATCTGCCTCGTGCCATGCGCCGTTCGTTATTGCTTGTGCCCCCCGCGGGTGCCTGCTCCGTGCAACCCAACCACGTATTCGAAGGAGATTCTTAATAAGAGGTCTGAACATGATGCTCGTCACACAAAACGCCCCGAGCCTCTCGCCCTCTTCTCCAAGTCTTCTGTCGATTTTCATCTCTTCTTGCTACATATAATGAGAGTCTTGACATCCCAAGATTTAGAAACCAACATCAATCGGTTTTTTTTTTGCTTTTTCTGCTTTCCACTTTCACTCTCATAGGCGCCGTCTTCTACTCTGAAACTCGTCTCCCCCCACACACACACCACCAACCCCAGAGTGTCAGGATGCCCTCGAAGCCATATCCAACTTCGTCTCCCTTCACGACGACCACAAAGTCTCCCACAGACAAACCGCCGCTGGCCGGTCCTCGCACATCGGCCCCTCCACCGCAACCACATCAGCAGCTTCAACTAAGACGCAGCCTGCGCACGGTGCCCTCCGACATGTTCTCGCCGGTCCCCCCAGGCCCTTCCTCCCCGCCGCCGTCGGTACCACGCCGCCGAAACAGCGCCCACCCCGTCCAGAACGCACAGCACTATTCCCCTCCCCCCTCCACCGCCACCACCTCGTCGTCAGCAAACGACGACGGACCCTACCGAGACTCGCTCTCCGTCCAGCCCCTCGCCGTCTCGCTGCCTCGCCCGGACTCCACGATCCTCCCCGGGCCCGGCGAGGGCGACTCCCCGCTCCTGGACCCGCGACACTTCACCGCCGTGGTGCGCCGCGGCGAGACCGTCCAGTACTGGCTGCCCGTCGAGGGGGTCATCAGGGGCCTGCCGGGACGGAGGTGCGTTCCTCACGGACACTGGGAGAGGCTCGTGGAGCTGGCCGAGGACGTGAGCGTCTGTACGGATACCGGCGAACGCACTGGGGGTGTGCAGCTTGTGACGGCGTGGTGCCATGCCAGAGAGTTGACTAGAAATGGGGAGCATGTGAACTAGGTACGGGACTACTCGGGACTGAGATATTACTCTGGTAATAGTGGCTTATCTGTGGACGCCCATGGCCGACACGAGAATCGAAAGGCCTGTAGGAAGAGCTATGGAGAAACCAAGTCAGGCATAAGAATGTTGTTGTTTGGTCGTGATCGATGGGTGATATGGACTCGGAGGTTCACAATGGCTCATCAGTCCAAATATAGACATATAATTAACTTCAATTCGAAATCTAAAGAGGGACAGCCGGCCTTTTAAATCCAGGTGAAATAAAAAAGATACAGTTCATAATCCAGTGGGGCTTCATCTATATTCTCAATTGAGTTCCCAGCCTAAACTACACCAAACCGCGTTGGCCTCTTCTTCTTCAAGACAGAAACCAAAGCCACCTCAGTGGAGAACAAGTAGACATAAGAAAATTCTCCGAACATTAAGTAATTTGAAACATGACTCTGCTGTATAAAGCACTAAAGACGTCCAAAACCTGGTATCGATTGTCTACAGGAAGAAAGCGAGGGCAACACCCATGGCACCGATCAGGCTGACACCAACCTTGGCAGCACCGGCCTTGACAGCGCTGGTGGTGACAGGAGAGGTGCTGACAGGAGCAGTGGCCTGGTTGACGGCGCTGGTAACGACACCGCCGGAAGAGCCGGCAGCCTTGGAGGTAGCGGCAGAGCCGGACTGGACGGCCTGGCTCTGAGCACCGCTCTGGGCGCCACCGGTGGGCTGGCTCTGGCCACCGTTGGACTGGCCGGGCACGAGGGTGACGGTAGCCGGGGCGCTGGCAACACCAGTCTTGGTCTTGTCCTGCTGCTCGCAAACGGGGCAGTAGGTCTTGGTGACAACGGACTGGGTGGGGACACCGTTGGAGACACCAGTGGTGGTGTAGGTGGTGGTGAAGGTCTCACGCTTGGCAGTTCCAGTGGTGGTGGCAGAGACGGGGCAGACGGTGGTGTACCAGGGGATGGTCTCAGTGATAGTCCAGCTTCCCTTGCCGTTGGCGGGGCAGTTGACGACGGTGGGAGGGCACTGGGTAACGGTGCGGACCTGGGTCTTGTAGACGGTGGAGGTGGTGACAGGGACAGCAGGGCAGACAGTGGTGTACAGATCGACAGTCTCAGTGACAACATAAGGACCGTTGCCGGCAGGGCAGTTGGTGACGGTAGGAGGGCACTGGGTGACAGTGCGGACCTGGGTCGTCCTGACAGTGGAAGTGGTCATGGGAATGTCGCCAGAGCCAGTGCTCGTGACACCAGCACCAGTCTGCTGGCCGTTTCCACCAGTAGGGTTGGCGTTGCCGCCGGTCTGCTGGCCGTTACCACCAGTAGGGTTAACACTGGCACCGGTCTGCTGGCCGTTGCCACCAGCGGTGGAGGAAGCAGAAGCATTGCCGTTGCCGCCAGCAGTAGAAGTAGCAGAGGCGTTACCGTTACCACCAGCAGTGGAGGTAGCAGAAGCGTTGCCGTTGCCGCCAGCGGTGGAGGAAGCAGAAGCATTGCCGTTACCACCAGCAGTGGAGGAAGCAGAGGAGTTACCGTTACCACCAGCGGTGGAAGAGGCAGCACCGGAGTTGGTGGACTGACCAGCGGTGGAGGAAGCAGCTCCAGAGTTGCTCTGGCCAGGAGTGGTGGTACCTGTGGCACTGGCACCAGGGGTGGTGGTGGCAGAAGCGTTGCCTCCAGGGGTGGTGGTGCCGGAAACACCAGGAGTGAAGGGACCAGTGGAGGCAGCAGGAGTGGTAGAGTCAGACTCAATGATGGTGGGCAGAGCACTGAAAGAGTCAGAAGGCTCCTCCGAAGTGGCGGAAGGAGTAGCCACGGGAGTGGTGGAGCCCGAAGCGTTGCCTCCGGGGGTGGTGGTGCCGGAGGCAGTGGCACCAGGAGTAGTGGTTCCGGAGGCGGTGGCACCAGGAGTGGTGGTAGCAGAAGCGTTACCGCCGGGGGTGGTGGTGCCGGAAGCTCCAGGGGTGAAAGGACCGGTGGTGGAGGCATCTGGGGTGCTGGTCTCGGACTCAATGATGGTAGGCAGAGGAGTGAAGTCGTCTGAGGTGGAAGGAGTAACCTCGGGCGTGGTGGTTCCAGAAGCGCTGGCTCCGGGAGTGGTAGTACCCGAGACACCGGGAGTGCCGGTGGCGGAGGGAGTGGCTCCAGGAGTAGACACATCCGAAGCACCAGGAGTGCTGGAGGCAGAAGCCGTGGCTCCGGGGGTGGAAACGTCAGATGCGGAGGGAGTAGCTCCAGGGGTAGAAACGTCAGAGGCATCGGGAGTGCTGGAAGCAGAGGCAGTAGCTCCGGGGGTGGAAACATCGGAAGCCGAGGGAGTAGCTCCTGGAGTGGAAACGTCTGAAGCATCGGGAGTGCTGGACGCAGAAGGCGTAGCTCCGGGAGTAGAAACATCAGATGCCGAGGGAGTAGCTCCGGGGGTGGAAACGTCTGAAGCATCGGGAGTGCTAGAGGCGGAAGGAGTAGCTCCAGGGGTAGAGACATCGGATGCCGAAGGAGTAGCTCCAGGGGTGGAAACATCAGAGGCATCGGGAGTGCTGGAGGCAGAAGGCGTAGCTCCAGGGGTAGAGACATCAGATGCTGATGGGGTAGCTCCGGGGGTGGAAACGTCTGAAGCATCGGGAGTGCTGGAGGCAGAAGGAGTAGCTCCAGGAGTAGAAACATCCGAAGCATCAGGAGTGCTGGAGGCAGAAGGAGTAGCTCCGGGGGTGGAAACATCTGAGGCATCGGGAGTGCTGGAAGCAGAAGGAGTACCAGCGGGGGTGCTGGAAGCAGAGACACCAGGCGTGGTGGAAGCTGGGGGAGTGCTTCCAGGTGTGCTCACATCATCATCATCGCACTCATCATCGGGGTTGGGAGTGCTGGTGGCGCTAGGGGTGGCAGTTCCACTGGGAGTAGCTGTACCGCTGGGAGGAGCAGTTCCGCTGGGAGTGCTGGCAGGGACGCTGGGGGTGCTGATGGGAGTGCTGTCCGGGGTGCTGATGGGAGTGCTCAGATCATCGTCGTCGCACCAGTCGAGGTCATCATCGTCGGGCATGGGTGTGACGGTTGAGCTGGCGGCGGCTGTGGTGGTGCTGATGATAGCAACGGAAGAGGTGTCGATGCCACGCATCTCAAACTTGACGGCCGAAGCACTGCTGGACAAAGCCAGGGCCACAGCCGTGACCTTGAGCAAGGACGGGGCCATTGTTGTGTGCAAGAGAGTGTGGTGAGTATTAATTATAAGTTTGAATGAGCGAGTGTATTGACGATTGCTACGTCAGTAGTAAGTGAGCGAAGGCTCTGTCGACGAGGACTGGATTACTTGAGGATGATATCCGCGTGGGGAAAGAAAGAAGGAAGAAACTCGAGAGACGCGGGCAGTTCTCGCTTTTGAGAGTGGCCGTGACTGCGTGCGCAGAGCATCCATCCACGGTATGGAGCCATGCCCATCTCCGCCGATGAGACTATTGAAGATGGCTTCAACGAAGCCCCCGCTAGAGCTGCAGGAGGTCGCTGGCTCAGAACTTCGTCATTGCTAATAGGCACACCCTTGCAAGTGGGTGTGGTCGAGATCGTTGCCCATGCTGGCTCGGAATGACCCAATGGGAATGGTCGCCAGGCCGGTGAGTCTTGCCCGATCTTTCTGGCCAGGGGTGTATCCAGACTCTCTATCTGCCCTCGGCGGTCAGCCAGGCCTCTGGGACCGTTGTGTATGTCGACCTAGCTCCACGGCTGAGGTCGCTTCCTCTTCCTAGTGCATGCGTGGTGGTGCGCGGCTAATGCAGGAACGTCAGTGCGCCGTCCGCATTAGACGTAGGCCTTCCCTCTTCACACAGCTGATAAGCCACCTGGCTGAGAGTCATGGCCTTCTTTATCTCATTGTTTGTTTGCGGTTGGTTTTTGCAGGGTGTGTGCATAGCCTTGTGTGAAATTGCTCTAGTCCGTAAGGGTGATTTTTGATGACAGGAAATCACACAGGCTGTTTGCTGGTGTAAGTTCAATATATCGGTCAGCAAGCAATTGCCTGAGGTGTTTTGGATCCAGCATGTCGAATTTTCGCTCTCATCTTCGACATCGGGGTAGTTCTGCTAGGTTTCTCCCGTTGTTCTGATCCTGTCTTGGCCCATCTGGATCATATAATTGGCTCCAAGGTCTTGTCTTGCTCATCGTCTCGCAGTGAACACAACGCACGTGTCGATGCTACCGATTGTCCATGCTAAGATTGACACGGACCCCCACCTAGTTTCGAGCTTTTCACGACCAGAGCACTGGTTAGCAAGGATGTGAGCCAATCGGACCACACCAGGTCCCCGCCCAGTGGAGGATAGCCTCTTTGCCATGCAGCTAAGTCGTAAGCAGGCACCAACAGCGCGGTAACCAGCTTCCTTGTTCAGTATGAGGCAGACATTAACGTCGCTCCCAGCGTGAGCTTGGCCGCTGGAGTTCCCAGATGATGGGTGCCAAAATCTCTCTCGGCCAGACGAACCGAAAACGTGCGTGGCCAGGATGCCGATCGATACCACCTCGATAAGAGTTGGGTAACGATCGTGATCTAGGCGAGTCGGGATAGTATCATTTTTCACACTGGGAGCACAGGAGCTCCAGCAGACTCAGCTCAGCGGCTGACAATACAGCTGCGGTCAGAGCCGGCAGCGTAGCTTCGTCGCGGGCGCCCATTGTGTCCGCCCCAAGGGCCGTTGACAAAGGCGAAAGGGGGCGCAGAGTCAGGCCGGGAAGGCTTTCGCGTAGGTGCCCGTCGATGGAGCCGATGGGCCTCGAGGAGTTTCAAAAAACAGGTTATCGAAAGCCACGACCCGTTGTGGCGCCCTTCACGGCTGCGTGGTGGAAGTTAAGTTAAATTGGTGGCGGAAAGGCTGGCGTGCGGTTTGCTCAGCACGGGCGGGTGCCTGCCAAGACCTTAGGGCTAGCGCCAGGGCCAATGGATGGCGCTCATGCCGCCACACCCTGCCCACAACGCTCTGCACGTCGAGGAAACTGCACTGCAGCCTTCAGGGGAGGTGCAGCTGCTGGGAGCAGGAATCGATAGTACACCAGGCTATTCGGCACCTGCGAAGCAATATTGCCCAAATAGCTGGCGGTTATTGTTCAGGCAAATGCTAGCCGGTTTCTGCTCGTCTCCAGCATAATATCAGTTGCATAAAGATGTCCATCCCTCCCCTCCCTCCAGTGCTCCCCGTTCTTTCTCCCTCGTGGCCCTAGCACCAGCATCGTCTCCTGAGCATTCTCTCCGCACCACCGTGCTATCAATCATTCATTTCCCTCCCTGTGCCTGCCACTGTGGACGCTATGCCCTCTACCAGCTAGAGCCTGGTCGATCGGGAGCCGGCAAGCACGGCCGCATGTTATGAACGGGCTGCGATGGTTGTCACCCTTTCCCACTGATAACCCCTGAAGCCCACTGATCATCTCGCCCCCACCCGTGCAAGCACGCACATAAACCGCACTGCAAAAAGCTTGGGTGCGGCGATTATCTCTGTGCTTTCAGCCTGGGCCTCCGGGAATAAGCCAGGGGGCCCTTGACCTCGCTTGTTCTTGGTTCTCTCACTGCCGAGCAGGGTGGCGAGCACTGACCGGTCTAGGACGTTCTACACAACCACGCACGCTGATTTGAGTCACTTCCCGGTTTTTTGTTTTCTGCTTTCGTCCCGTCTCCGTTGGTTGGAGCCTAGATCTGGCTAGCATGATTTGTTGTCACTCGCCTTCACCCAGTTTGTGCAATCGATGCCTATCAAATCTCCACATTGTAAGCCTAACCATCCAGCCTTCCGCCCAGCTGGAAACCGCGGACGACGCCACTGTCAAATTGCCAGGGGACAGACTGTAGTCGTAGTAGTTGAGATAAAACAGAAATTTTCAAGTGGCGTTTCGCGTATGTAGGTAAGCCGTGCGTGTAATCAATGCTGCCCTAAGTGAAATGAGGTTCAGCCGTTCAGGATGCCAGCTGCACTATCGGGTCCTCTCCGCCTGCAAGCAACACGTCAAAACTCGACGACCGGTGTGGGAAATTCTGGGGGCTGTTCCTGCAGCTGTACCTGCAGCAGTCACAACGAGGCGTTCCGACGACATTGTGTTGGCGTACTGCAAGGCCCCTTTAATGATGACCGTGGGCCGTGGCTGACGGCCAACCACCGCCGCTCACGCTCTTTTCCCAACTATTGAGCGAGCTAAGGTGTATTCGTTGCCCCTTGTCCAACCTTGGTCACGGCCCGCCTGCCAGCCTGCACGCGGAGCGTCCTCTTCACTTCACAAGTTCACCGTAAGGCAGATTGCGTCCAGTGCCCCCTTTCCTGAAGGAGAAAATGTGATGGGCTTTGTTCTCTTTGTCTAATAATAGTATTACATGTGAGCGCCGTATCATTTGGTCAACCTCGTAACCAAGATAGTGGCGTTTGCAGTAGATTGATGGTGGTACAGAGGAAGGGGGCCGCGGCGACCATGGACCCTCCTGAGCTCTTAGTCCATTCATTCCTCAGATTGGGAGGCGAAATGATCCCGGCCTTTCCATTTGTTGAGCTTTCCTTTCGCGGGCGGCTTGTCGCTGTCCGTGTACGCAACGACAAAGTCCTGGATCGCTGCAGCTGCCGGCTTCTCCATCTTGCCCTCGAGTGTGGCCCGCCGGACGCGAACCCACCTATACCTGTCCAGCAGTATGTAGATGAACCCCCCGCGGGCGTTTATGGCGATAAGCTTCCTGAGGCGCTGCTCCTCCTCGTTCTCCCGCTGTGTGACGACCTCTATGGTCGCCCTGAGGCCGCTCACTTCCTCAAACGGCACCTCCATCACGTCATGGAAGATGAGCCGCCGGATCAACACCTCCCCCTTTAACGAGCAGGCGACCATCGTCCAGACGCCCTGTGATATCTGGATGCGCCGCCTCCAGTCCTCAGCCGTCCACTCCAGCCAGTCGATCTGCATGTCCGCCTTGGTAATCTTGGGTGCGTGCTGCAGCGGCTGTCCCTCCAGCTCCTTGGCTTTCCACCCAGCATCCTCGTAGGGCGCAATGTGGACGCCATCTCTCAGCCCTTGGACTAGTAGGTCCGCGCCCTCCATCGCTAACTTACGATTCACACGCGACAGCGTCGGGTGCTGCAGGATTCTCATACCCGGCGCCGGGGTCTGAGAAAGCACGACGCCGTGATCAATCTTTTCTTCATCCAGCGTTTGCAGTGAGACCCCCGTGAACTCGTCTCCCCGTAGGACAGCATGATGGATGGGGGCTGGCCCACGAAGACTAATTGTTGTGTCAGCGATGTGATGAGCTTTACACCGTGCAGGAGCATTCTGGAGTGACCACGTACTCTGGGAGGAGCGAGGGATGGACGTTTAACCCGCCGTATTTGACACTTCTCAGTATTCTTTTGGGAACGAACAGCCCAAAAGAAACCACCACAATCAGATTTATTGACTGGGGTGGCTGTGTGTAAAATTAGCTTCTGCGCGCTTCCCGACAATAATCAAAAGGCTGTTTGTAGGCCTCCTTACCTCCCAGTTGGTAAAGGTGTCTATCGAATGTGTTGAGAGCCCCAAAGCATCCGCTGCTCTCATCATCGGTGCTATACACTGATTAGAACTGAACCTAAGAAAGAAAATTTGGACATCTCTGGAACGAGACACACACACTGACTTACTTTCGAGCTTCAACTTCCGTCCTCTCCCACTTGGTTTCGGGGGAAGCAGCACACACTCAATGTTCTCAACGAGCCCCTTGTTGAACGTCATCTCCTCATGAAGCGCATGTAGAGACTCGGTGCTCATGTTGTCCGTGCCGCAAAACAGGATGCGCAGCGGTTCTGATTGCTTCCCACTGGTGGTCCTGTACAGGCTCTGGCTTTTCCACCTCCGTTGTGCAGCCCCCTGCCTCGCCAGCGCGAAGGTTGGCCTGCTGAGTGAACGAAGCATCTCTGAGGACCATTGATATGATGGACGCATAAATAAATAAAGAAGAGTGGCCCGTTCTCGCGACGTGCCGTAATTGACGATGCTTCTGGGGCTGCAATCTTTTTCCTTGGAGTGGCGGCACAGTGAGAATCGCGTTTAGTGCATTGACGGTTATATGCATATTCCAACTCCAGCGATGCGCAAGTCGTAGATGTGCCATAAACAGGAGATTCTCACCATCATCCAATTAAAAATATACATCTATTCTATCGTCCAATCGCAAGCTACTGCCCAAGTGATGTCATCCAGCTTCACATCCCAAAAGGGTTGCCAAACAATAGCTATACTGCCGTGTGCAACAACCGGTTTCCTCCCCAGGTCCACCACTCTGCCCTCACCTGCGAGAATGAAGTTCTGTTGTTCCTGCGCCTCGCCAAGTTTGGTTCCCCGAACAAGGTTCATGGCGGTTCCGGGACGCACTTCGTCCACCTTGAAACGAAATGTAGACTCGATGTTGCCGTCTTTCCCCTCCCCCTCTCGTACCTCTGAAAGCCACCCTTGCAGCCCTGCAGCCAATCCCCCAGGAACATATTTCTGTCCGCGACGTCGTGGCGAAAAAAAATCAGGCAGTTCCGCTATGGGCACGTCATCTTCGAGAGGCTTGAAGCGAGGGGGTGCTCGGAATGTCGGCTGCTGAGGGCCGTGGCTCTGCATCGCCGTCTCCAGATCAGACAGGTCGGGGCTGCCGTCACTTCCATGCTCCCCAGCGAAATCGGATTGCGGGGACTTGTCCCCAATGCCCTGTTGGAGTTCCTCCTGGAAAGGATCCTCCCCTAGATGATCGCTTGCTTGGGGACTGGACGTAGGGAGGGGCGAGATGGAGATTTTACGCCTCTTGGCCAGAGGTGAAGAGGGCATGGGCTCCTCCAAGTCTCCCTCAATGGAATTATAACGCCATGAACTTTGCGCCGCTTCATCCTGGGATAATTCGTGAATCAGAGAGTCGGAAGGTATCACAGATTCAACCTCAATCGATTCCTCCAGGGGCATATACCCTCGAGTCCGCCGAGGGAGCTCCTCATGGGTCACTTCCAACTCTCCGAGACTCTCATTGTCATCACCTACGGAAGAAGACTCTGGGCCGGAAAATCCACCCAGATCATTCTCATCCACATCCTCAATACTCCTCGATGCTTGGGTTGCCCTTGTACCCGAGGAGGCAAACCGAGGTGTAGGCTGGAACCTTGGTGCCTGAGACGACTGTGTCGAGCGCTTGGGCAAGAGGAACTTGCTCGTCGCTGGGGTCTATCGCGTAGCGTCAATTACATGTCAATTTTTCTCTTTAGAGGACTCCGCATGGATTGTACCCTCGCGGGACTGCCACTCCACGCAGGGCAGCGAGATGATTGGGGTGGCCTTACTCGAGGTGTTGAACTCATAGCGTCATGGAATGTGGGCTGCACGCATCGCCCAGAGGGCTCGACTGGCCCGAACGCACGGCGGGGGGAGACACAGGGAGATAAAGCTGCCTGGTCTCATTATCAATCCGAATGTGCGATGGCCATTCTTGTTTAAGATGTACACATGTTCAGGAGAGGTCGTGTAACCCAACCGCACAAAGAGAGAAACCTGAAGGTAAGACGCTCTGGTGCTTAACTAACTCCAGGTATTTTGGTGGGGCGGGTCATGGCACACAAGTCGCAATACAAGCAAGAGTGTCAAGTGGGATATTTCGCACAGGTCCAAAGTGTTTGCTTCATTTGAATGCCTCAATACTACCATTCCTGTATAGTGACGAAAAATAACAATATTTGCAATTCACCAAGTTGGAACTTTTTTTCTTGTAAACATTATAAACCTGCTCCTAGCTTGCACTCTCCCAACCACCATCTTCTCCTAGCTGGCCACCTCACAAGGCTGTTAAATGATTTCATGTTTTCTTTCGTAGGCGTACATAAGGTCATCCTAAGACCTCTTCTCATAGTGCCTCGCAGTGCAGAAAGACCGCGGAATAAGATATCTCAACACCAACGCCGTACTGGGCATCTTGTCTGTGCCCTCTTTTAACTCTTTACCCCTAGCCCAGTATCATGCTGAAAAGTATGCGCCGTTTTGACAGACGAGAAATAAACGAAAAGAAAAAGAAGCATTATAAGAGAATGTCCCACAATCATAGTACACTGTATTCCTCCCCGTGAAGCAGGCCAAAGTTGGCTACAAATGCGGCTGGTGAACGCGATGCCAGCTGACGGCCGAAATAATCAACCACATTCCCAAGAAAACAGGCGTCGAAGCACAGCCTGGCTTGTGGTAGATGCCGAGGCCTGCATTTGTCAAGAAATTCGAAAAAAAGGCGAGAAATGCAAATATATTGACAGAAGCGCCTCCCGATTCTAGTACAATGGTTGAAAGTTTAGCCATAAGCAAGTTCAAATCCTGATGCATGGCCTGGTTTTGTTGGTTCAGAATCTTTGACAGGGTGCAGCATGATTGAGGGGAGGCATGGGCGGCCATGCTTCCTCTCCCACTGGGAACCACCGATGTTGGTGTCGGTCCAGCCCATCCAGTTGTTGTAAAGGCGATTCGGTGGTTCTGCGCGATAATACCAAGTGACGCCCTGATACCGTCGCTCGCGTCCCCAGCCCATGGGGCTGCCATATCCACCGCTCTCGCCATGGACGCCGGGGTTGAACCACTTGTTGACAAACTTGCCGTCCCACTCTCTATCCATGAATACAGGGTGAGGAGCAAAGACTGCCTTCAGACCATGCAGGAGTGCTACGGTTTGAGGAGTCATCTCAGAAGCCACGTGGTTGCCGCGCATGTTCTCCACGTGCATGACATCTAACAAGCGCTTGGAGACTCGAGACTGCGTAACAATAGTGGTACGGCGAGGAACATCTTCTGAATGATGTGTCTCATCATTGTAACCCCAGACATGGGACCCGATGATCCAGTTACTGTGAATAGGGTTGAAGATTGGCCCGACGGTAATCATATCTGCTTCCTCCCCAACACCCCAGCTGTAGTCGTCCTCTTCCGGGGTCTTGGTGGGTGGTTTCGGGCCGACAGGGTTGATAAATGGCAGGTCGGGGGGGCCCCATACAGTGCCGGTCTTGTGGCGCAATTCGACGTCCTTGCGGAACGTCGTGTCGTAATCGCCATGGTGCTCTGGGACGTACCAGCGCTCGCTTCGTTCCCACAAGCCTCTACGTGGCTGTTTGCGCGAGAAGGCAGACAGTTTCTCGAGCAGGTCATAGTGATGCCCGGTGTAGCGGAAGTCCATCTCCCAATTCCAAATGAAGTCAAACTCAGGATGGTCGTGGCTGAACTTTTGGACTGAAAGCCACTGAGCTGTGTGCACGGTCCTTTCGTTTTCGTCCTTGAGCTCGGTGTAAATGTCCCAAACGACCTCGTCGTTCCAGAGAACGGTGATGCCGTGGAATTCATCAGGGATGTTTTCACGGATGACTCTCTGGTGCGTCTCAGAATCGTCGAAGATTCGCAGCTCACGGTCCTTGACATGGACGAGGAGGAAAACTTCATACTCTCCTCCAGACTTCAGCGACAGTTCGTTGATCATAGCACGAATCACCTGCTTGTCATTCTCGGTGTATTTTTTCCCAGTATACGACCGAAGTAGAATCGCTGTGCGGTTTTCCTTGACGAAGTCGCTGCTGTCGGACCGAATCTCGGGATAGGTCTCTTCAGCCAACCCTCGTGTCTTGATTTTGGGAGCACCATTGAGTCCATGACTCACAGTCTCGTCCGGTTTGGATGTCTCAGAGTAAGCTTGGAGATATGGGTTCTGGCGAGTCTTCTTGAGATCGAAACGTCTTGTGTTCTTGTGAACACACTTTCGCTGGAGATCACCCCAATTGACATTGTCCCAGTCGATTGGCGCGAGCTCACCGCCCTGGTTCTTCTTCTTTTGCTGCACATAGCCATATTGGCCCAGACGTGTTTCCCGCTCCCAGCAGAGATTGGCATCCATGTCCAAGACGTTGTAGCTTCCAAATTTAGGGGATGGAAATCGGCTGGGACGTCCCTTGAAGACCATGACATCTTCAACAAACTCTCCAGTGGCGCCGATGCAGGGGACGTAAGGCGCATGGTTGGCGGTCTTCCACGTGTCACTGTTGTAGTCGGGAAATGGGTTAAAGCGAACTGGCTTGTCCTCAGTGAACTGCAAATGAACGTTGGGGTCTTCCCTCAATTGCTGTGCGTGCTTCTCAGTGCGGTTATCCTTGTAGTCAAGAGTTTTGACCGTGTTGCCGTAGATCAGGTTCGACGATGGGGAGCTGGAGATATATAGGTCAGTCTCATGGTAGTCCAGTCTCGATAATTCGATCGGGAAATACTCACTCTGCGGTGATTCGGTAAGAGTAGCGCCATAGTTTCCTCATGTCTTTTTCAGCTAGAAGCCTGCTGATGGTGCCCGCATCTCGGTCCTTCCCATCGGTCTCGTACCCTGGCTCGACATCTTCATAGTCTTCCCTATCATCTGCTTCCCTCCAATCCCTGATATCTTCAATGTCAACGTCCCATTTGTTCTTGACTTCAGGGACATCGAAGAACCCAGCACCCGGTGGCTTGTTTTGGTCGACAAAATTGTCGGGTTGGGAGTCAACGTGATTGCCGGCGTTATCCACTTGATTGTCTACAGGCTTATCGTTGCCATTGTTGTTGGATTCGGGGTTTTGTAGATGCGGTACAGGGTGGAAGTGAGGCGCCGATGACGAGAAGAGGAAGAAGTAGCCGGCGGAGACCAAGAACAGAGCGACGAGCAATGTTCTTGGTCGCGCCCGGGCCAATAGACGGTGTGGCTGCGTATTTAACATTTTGTCCATCCCACGCAGGCTCGAGGGAGGATGGCGATGTATGGTAAAGCCTCGTTGAGTGTGGCCAACCCGAGAGGTAAGGCCTGAATCCGAGCTTGATATGAACAGTCAAGATCAACCCGCGTGACGAAATATATCGAAAGCCTCAGCGGTGCATGGTTCGAGTATAGCCAGGACTGTATGATAGTACAATAGCGACAGTGGCAGAATTGAACAGCGTCCAGACAAGTAATTAATACGCGGGTCTGTCAGGGAGGGGTCGGGAATCGAAGCTGTCTGCTCGTTTCGATCGGTTCGCGGCGCAGGGGTAAAATTAGGACACCGTTCCGGGTTGGAATAGAAATGGATAAAAGAGTGACACGACTTCTGTCAAAGAAGTCTCAAGTAGAGCGATACTAGAGGCGATCACTGCGCAGCTGCGTCCAACTTGCGAACGAAGCGGGAGTAACTCGAGAGATGCCACCTTGTGAGATGGGGGTTATAGGAGGCGGTAGAAATGCAGGAGGTGAGAGAAAACGATGACCATTTGGAGGTTGCGATTATTTAGTCTCTTGGCACTTTTGCTCGTGCTAATGACCCAATACCACAGTATTACCGCCTACCTTAAGGGGGTAATGTGGCAGGCACAGTTGGCCACAGTAGATTCCCAGGGGGTGGGGTCCTGCAATGCGGGTACCACATATCCATCCATTAAATTCAGGTAGGGGGAAATGCCGGAAGCGAGGCCAAACCCTCCAGGCTGGGAGCCATCGAGGAATCAAAGCTGACGGGAATTTCCCCTGTACCTCTACTTTTCTTGAAAGTGGGTTGGACCAGAGTTGATCACGAACCTCCACGTTGAAATACTATGCACTATCTTCATGCCGCCGCGAGAGGCGCTTCCTGAGAAGGCTCCCTCTGCGCGCGAGCCCTCCCCCTAATACGATCGTCATCCAGGAGAACTGGCTGCGCTAGTGGTGGGGCTTTGATAGGGGACAGCGAAACATGAGGTGGATTGAAAGAGGAGGAAACCTGTGTTCTGCACTGTACACGGAGCCACGCGCATGCTATGTCGATAGTCCCATGTAATTTGCGTGTATGGATCGTCCCTCAGAGCCGTCAATAACCTTGGGCATGGTGGGTTCAGGCGATGACCCAGCGTATGATTCCAGAAGTTTCAGGAGTCCGCCAATTGACCGTTGGGTCCCTGGATTTACGTATGCCGAGAGCCCTAACAGTCTTGATACAATCCTGACGCCACGGAAAACCGCTGACAAAGTACGCGTACAACAACATGGAAATGAAGACATGGAATGCCGAAACGATGCCAAAATGACGGTGTCGTTATCTCCAGCATAGAGCAATAATGACCACCTTACAATATACCTAGGTAGGGGGCTCGAGGCACCTGACGGGTCCAGAAGGGCTCAGCTAATTAGCCTATCGATCCCACCGCTAAAACGTCCATCCATTTGAGCAGTTGAAGGCAATGGAAGACAACGCCTGGAAGCCGGTAGAAGAAACACCTGCTGCCTCGCATGGCAAACAGGGTTGTCCAGTGGAACCGTTCTTTACGTTCGCCGCCTTTCATCCTTTGCGCTCTGAAATTAGGTACATGGAGTTGGTTGTGTTATTTTGCCACCATCTCGTACCAAGCACTGTCAATTCTGACCAACATGCTGGATACGAGCGCAGGTGCCAGTACATAATAAGCCTCTTTCGGGACCACCAATGGCAGCGTTAGGTGACCGCGTCAACAAGATCACGGGAGTTGGGTCGTATTATGGCCATCCCCCGAGAATAAGCTTCCCCTGCTGGCAGATTGTCAGCAGTGCCGAGCTACCCAGCAAAGCGAGTCGACATGAACTTGGTGAACTCTCTTCCCAGTGTCTTCCCACACACCCCTGCTTATCCTTGGACGTCAAATACGAAGATCCATACTCGGTAAGGTAGGTCGCCCGTCAACACCAGCATGTCCGGCACTCTAGGCTCTCCCGTGGCGTGGAAGATGTGTCCTTCTGAAGCATGCGCAAAAGAAGTTAGGCCTGGCTGCCAGCTGCCGCAGTAGGCGCCGTCTTCCAGTCTACAAGCAATAGCGCCCTGCGAGGCTGTCTTCTAGCCTCGATTGATAGTCAGCTTTCTAGAAATCGATAGCTCGTGTAGCACAGTGGGGATATCGGGGACAAGATTGGCTGAATATGTCTATCTTTTTTAAAATGATTTCATTAGTATTAGATGGTACTACTCAAATTAACAAATCAGAATATCCAGTCGCTAAAGAAGACGACCAGTTCGTCCATGCATTCGTCCCGGCCCAAGCCTTTGTAAAAGACTAACCGCCATACTCCAGAACTCCTTATTGGTTGATGCTGAGATCGCTCGTCAAAGCATCCCACGAAGCCCCTCGATTAAACAAAATAGCCTACCATAAGACAGACAAACAGTGAAAGACAGAGAAGATAATTGCGATCAAGCATATGATGAGAGGCTGCTCTGGGGGTATAATCAAACAAAAAGGGAATACAAATATTGGGTAAAAATGCCAACCTTAACTCCACATCGCTTAACATAAAATTGAACAAGTGTGACGGATAAATGACACCAAGAATGGTAGTAAAGCTCGTAAGATCCTGACCGTCCGTGGAAGCATAGATTATTTCATCATGACATCAAGCCCAGTCTCGTTGAGCGTTTGTTCATGATTGGGGGACCTTGCCCATATGCATTAGGTGAAAGGCCCATACCTGGGCCGGATCGCATTGCAGCTGGAGGACCATATCCAGGACGGGAGGAGCTGGGTCCAGTTCCGCGCGGGCTGTACGCCGTATACGCTGCTCCATAAGCAGCGAAACCTGGTCGCTGCTGTGGTGCTTCGTTCGGAGAGCCAAGTGGAGAGGGGCCATGTCTTGATTGCTGCCCGTATGGGTTGTGATTAAGAGGTGGCCTGCCACCGAAGCTCCTGGGTTGAGGAGGCTGGCTTCTGTTTAGAGCATCTTGCTCACAGTATTGCTTCCCGGCTATCTCGAAATAGCCATCCGACAGTGATCGCCCACAATCGTGACAGCAGAAGCAGCCAACGTGATATTTAGTTGAGACTTCATCCTCAATGTAGTGACCTTCGATGCCTCTGTCGCACGTCCCGCAGAGGCTACCGTTGAGCGTGTGGTAGTGTCGCTCACAGTATGGCTTGTCATTGAGCACATAGAATTCGGCAGAAGTGAATGGTTCCGAGCAGGAGGTGCACACGAAACACGCTTTGTGGTACTTCCCCGTCAGCCGGCCATCGGCGGAAGAAATACTCTTGCCTGTGATGGCAAGGCTACAAGCTTTGCAGTTGCCCCTAGATCGAGGCGAGGCGAGTGGTTGTTCGGGCGATGTTCCAAATCGAGGACTTTCGGGTGGGAAGTAAGAGCCTCCAGGAGATAGTTGAGGATGTGTATTGGAACGAGATGCTGGGATTGGTGTTGGCATTGGCGGCGTCATGAGGTGGTTCGAAAAGCCTTTGCTTGCATCGTCATGTCGATAGTTTTGCGAGCTTGGGCTTGGGCCGTCAAGTGGGGATAAGCTGTGAGGTGATTTGGATATGGGGGATGGTGATCGGGGTAAAGCCTCGGTATCGACCTCGAGGCCCTTTGTTTGCATGCTGTCCATGGACATTTGCACGTCGCCAATTAATTTGTCGATATTAGAATCACTCGAGGCTTGGCCTTGAGCTTGATAGCCTGCTGAACTTGTTCGCGAGCTCGCATAACTGGGTCGACTGAACCCAGAGTAACCTGAGGATGCGGAATCTGAAGGGGTATGGTACGGATTGCTGATGCCAAACTCGGCCGCAAGATCAACAGACGCCATATTCATAGAAGCGGGTTGGATCAAGCTCTTGCGCGGCGGCGGTTTGCGAGATGTCACTGGTCCCATAGATGGTTTCCGGCTATGGGCCTCTGGTTGCGCGCCCAGGCGGTCATTTCGTGTTCCTGGAGCTGACGGCGTGCGTGCGGGGGCGTCTGTTGATTTCGAAGCCTTGGGAAAGGTCTCGGAACGGGTGATATTCCCCAACGGCGGAGGAGTCAGCGCTCCCTCTACTCTTGCAGGTGGACCGAAGCCATCGTAGGTCGTCTTCATGGGCGATTTTGGCGGCAAGGAAGCATCGTAATGTTCGTCTGAGGAAACTGACGACCTCGATCCATGGCCGCTATCAGGTCGTTCCAAGTTGATCGAGACCGGCGAGAGGGAATCCTTGGGCGCCTTCGGAAATTGTTCAATAAGTGACGGCCTCCGATCGGCATCGAACGGGCCTGGGGCAATGGTGTTCATTCGCTCGAGAAATCCAGCACTCGCAACACCTGGGCTCGGAATCGGCTCTGTTGTATAGCCATCTTTCTGACCAAAGCCCCAGCCCAACGTGGGCGTAGATTTTGCGCTTCCCCAGGTTGCGTTGAGTGCATCAATATGGCCCGGCGGGAGTTCCAGACTCTCGCTGGAAGATGGTCGCTCCTGTGAATCGATTGGAGTGGTGTCCAGCGACCTGGTGGTGGGAGGTGCATATAATTTATCTAATTAGGTCTGTAAGCAAATGGCCGACCTCTTTCCATATACGGCCCTCCGAGCTAAAAAAGAAAAACGTACTGGCAATGCCAGTGTTCACAGGCAAAGGTTTACGGCCAAGCTTTGTTGGTGGAGCCGGATCAGGTGGGCGGCTCATGGTATCGTATTTCTCTAATAACGGCGATACTGGGCCTCTGGTCAGCACGTATTTTAAAGTCGAATCGGTCATGTTGATCGGCATACTTTTCTCCGCTGGTTCTGAAGGGCTGCAGATATGCTCCCCCATCATTGATATCTCGACCTGGGCGCCGCATTGCGAACACTTGATGGTCGGCAGTAATACCGACTCCCTGCCCAATGCCGCCATGGTGATGGATCGAAGTCTCAGATTTCTATGCTTGGTTCTGAATCGTCATCGGAATGGTTATATGCTGAATTCGGGCTCGCGAACTGGACCGGTTAAAGAGCGACTTCGGGAGGTGGATGTAGTGTGCGATGAGTATCAAGACCAGTATTTCTGTTTCGATAGAGTCCCGTCCCCCCCAAACCATTGGGGTCCCAGATATGAATGAATAAAAATCAAGAATTAATGCGATCAATGGGAGGCGAGCGATCAGAACCCTTCCTCCTCTCTGCCTCCCCAAGATCTCAATGGACAGGGCGCAAACAGCAGGCTCTAAGCTGTGCTGTAAAGATTGTCGTCAAGGAATACGCTTCATGCTCGGGGTAGGCTGGCAATCGGATCGGCAAACCAAACACGCAAAACAAAACAAGGAAAATAAAGATTAGGTGAAGCCGATGACCTGAAGATCAGACGGCAACATGGGAGAATATGAAGAGGCGGCCTGCACCAACAACCAGGGACTTTGATGTTGTATTATTACTTTGCGAGGTACGTACCGCTGCATGGAGGCTCGGAGCACCAACTCAGACTGACCTTAGCAGTTAGAAAGAATGGATCTCGGTGCTTCAAGTCACCTTACCTACTAAAGAGGGTTGCTAAGGGGTGGGACCCCTGCAGTTCCCCTGGCGTTCGCATGGGCGTGCAATAGGTGTGTCCCTGGATCTCGACAGGGGTCCCATGCAATCTTGCGGTGGTACGAGGATAAGGTAGGAGGGATATTTGTACGAGCACGTCCCAATCACACGAGCCCATCCAACGAGCCTCCTTGTTGACTTGGCTATTTTTCATCTTGATGCTTCCCGATGGACTTTGGGGGAGCAGGATGACGAGAGACTGGTCGTGGGCGCTTCACAGCCACGCCTGCAAAGGAGACACCAATACTTCAATTAGTAGTATTGGATTGACGCACAGCCAAGTGGACATGATTGAAAGGGACGTCGTGTCAAGGGACACCCCACACAATACTAGTATTAGTATTTCGCCGCCTGGTGTCTGGCCTAGAGCCCTCCCTTGTGGGCGGAGAGATTGCAGAGCAACATCGTCAAGGCCAATGAGGATGAGGAAGCCTGCATGCGCTGCTCCGTCCAACTGCCATGATCTAAGATATCATCGACCACACGCGAGGCCTCGCCCATCCCAGCCTGCTCATCGCTTGCCTCCTGGCCCAGCCAACGGGACAGCCGTCGCGAGCACTTGAGCTGCTACGTGCACAGGTGTTAGTGTAGGATGATGACCCCGTGTGCCGCCAACCAAGAATATGCCTACGGAGAAGCTGCGCAGCTGTGAACGTGCATATGAGATCCCTAGCGGACTAGAAGCCTCCTCGCAGGAGCATGAGCCCAAGACCTTAGACCGCCACAAACGAGCACAGACAGGGACTGGACGCACCCTTGGCCCGCCCTGGCTGAAGCCCTAGCAAAAGCATGTTGCCTGTCATGCTGCTGTTCGCTGCTGGCCCCTCTTGGATCAAGCATCTAATTAATAACGCTTCTTCATCAAACTCCAATGTCCGAATGGGGATGCCCCAGCTCCCAGTGCCAGAGACTAGCCCACCGGCAATTTTTAGCCAACTCAGTCGATGGATCCGACGTCATTTAGAAGAACTGGCGGCGTACCTTAGGAGCAACTATCTGCACAGCCGTTTGTGCTATGCGGGTTGGTATGCCTCTATATGTGGTCACGCTGCACATGGCAGAGCGCAACTCTCAGGCAAGCCACCAGCGTTGGCCTCGTCTTATCGCTCCCACCATAGTGAATGTGGCCTCGCTGCGAATTGATCCAGACACCTTTCTGGCCAGCGGGGCCTGCTCGCAGTGTGTGCAGATGACTGGAGTTTTGGCACTGATTCCACCGAATGAAGAGGTGCCCCGATGACTCCTGCGACAGTCGTGCCACCCCTGCACGCAACACCACCTTATTCCACATCCACGGAGGGTCCATCATCCAACAGCGATCATCAATTCCTTTTTTGGCCTTGGGGTGTCATCCACACCATTGAATATTTATCGGCGCCAATGAGACAGCACAACGGATGTTGGATGCGAACCACGGGTTCGTCGTCTTCCAGATTGCGCAAAGCCCTCCCAACCAATTGCATGTCGGTCCGTGACTCCGTCGTAGATGGCATCAGCAAGCCACAATCGTCAATATGTACTCAATCGAGGCGAGGAATCACTGGCCGGCGTGTATTGTTGGCGCCACCACCAAGCCAATAAGCATCAGGGAATCACCTGCATGTTTTCAGCCCGGCCATTGAGCCCAGTCTAACTCTCCTGCGATCGAGCTATGTAGTGGCCCGTGATTTGAATTCATGCCTCGCTCTCGTAAGATGGTGTAGAATAGATTAATGTCCAAGTTACCGCGTGGTGACGATGATTTTCGACTATAATGCCCGAAACCCACCTTCCTGGGACAGCAGGTAGCATCGTTTTACCATTCTCACTTGAGACATGCCCCCCCGCGCCGGCCGAGTGAACTTCTTGTCCTAGTAAGTGAGGAGCACTCAGGCACAGGCTAGTCGCTTATTAGGGAGACATGCCAACGTGCTGGGCCATGCCTGTGCCGTTTTGGTAATTACCAGCTAGAAGGCAAGACAAATTGATCTCCACAGGAGCCAAGGGGCAATTGACTGAGTCCCCTTTCGCACAGACAAGCGCCAGTCTGTCCTGTTAGTTCCATCATGATCGCCAGCCAGCACGGACATTGATGAGGGGATGCCCAAAGCGCGTGAGGGGCCTGGCTGTAGACAACACAGCATACCAATAGGATTAGGATTCTGCATACATGTACCTAGATAATGTATTACGACGTCGGTTGCATGCACCTGGCACATCATCGCTCGTGTGCCTCGCCCGCAACATCCGACCTAGCGCCATTCGCACATCGTAGCTGGCTTCTGCAGTGCGGGCTGCAGTTATATCGCGCGCCGACCGCCGCAACCGCAGCCCGGCTCTGCCCAAGTCCGGGTCTGTAAGTGTCGTAAAAGCAACGGACAATTGCTCAATCCCGATCATGGCTCTCACCGCTGGATCAGTGCTGCTCTTGGCAGATACAACACCGTTATCTTACGTACCACTTGCCCCAACACACAGCATGTTATCCACTTCCGCACAACAAGGGAATACACTATAATAATCTGCCCAGCTTCCGACACCTCCTCTTCTTCTCTTCCTTTCTTTCCAACCCACAAACACTATCGTCCTAGAACCCCAGTTTCTTACTCCAGAACAACCCTCAATCAAAACCCCTTAGTCCAGTCCCTCGCAGCTTACCACCAGCTGGTATCACTGCCCCGCTACCCCGCGATCTCCGATTCGGACTTCGTCAACAGCCACATAAATTACAGATCGAGGGATCATAACCTCGATCATTTAAGTCGCCAAGACGTTCTCCAATCTCCTTAACTCGTAAGTCCCCAGAGTCTCAGCGAAAGACTTCGAATGGCCTGCTAATATCCTTCTCCAGCGTTCACAACCCGTTCAGCGGATCCCGCCGCTCAGCCGCCCCTGGTGGAGCAGCGGACTCGATCGATACTCAGTAAAGGTCCAAACTACAACTCGCAAAAGACCTTCTGACAATAATCTCCGGATTCCAATTAGCCAGCATGGCCCCTCACGCAGAGGAGCATGCGGGATCCGCTAACGGGGGTAACTCCAACGGAAACGGGAGCACTGTGCAGACTGCCGCCTATGATGTCTTCACAGTCAACTCTCCCAATGTCACTTACACGGATAACGAAATCAAGTCCAAGTACACCTATCGTACTACTCAGGTCGAAACAAACCCGGATGGCAAGCTCGTGGCCACCCCGACTGAGACTCTGTACGACTTCAAGGTCGAAAGGAAGGTGCCCAAGACTGGTATGATGCTTGTCGGCTGGGGCGGTAACAACGGTACGACTGTCACCGCCGGTATCATTGCCAACCGCCGCAACCTCGTCTGGCCCACCAAGGAGGGACAGCAGGAGGCCAATTACTATGGCTCCGTTGTCATGGGCTCCACAATGAAGCTGGGAACCGATGCCAAAACTCACAAGGATGTCAATATTCCTTTCCACCAGATCTTGCCCATGGTCCACCCCAATGATCTTGTCATTGGCGGCTGGGACATTAGCAAGCTGAACCTTGCTGAGGCTATGGATCGTTCCAAGGTTCTGGAGCCCACCCTCAAGGCTCTGGTCCAGAAGGAGATGGCCTCTCAAGTTCCCTTGCCTTCCATTTACTATCCTGACTTCATTGCTGCCAACCAGGAGGACCGTGCCGACAATTTGATCCAAGGTAGCAAGGCCTCTCTGGCCCACGTTGAGCATTTGCGCAAAGACATTCGAGAGTTCAAAGAAAAGAATGGTCTTGACAAAGTCATCGTGATGTGGACCGCCAACACTGAACGCTATGCTGACATCATCGAGGGCGTGAACGATACCGCTGATAACCTCCTCAAGTCGATTGAGCAGGGCCACGAGGAGGTTTCCCCCTCCACCGTTTTCGCCGTGGCCTGTATCCTTGAGGGCACTCCCTTTATCAACGGATCTCCCCAGAACACCTTTGTTCCCGGTGCTATTGAGTTGGCGGAGAAGCACAATGCCTACATTGGCGGTGATGACTTCAAGTCTGGCCAGACCAAGATGAAATCCGCTCTTGTTGACTTCCTCATCAGTGCCGGCATCAAGCTGACCTCCATCGCCAGCTACAATCACCTGGGCAACAACGATGGTAAGAACCTGAGCTCCCAGAAGCAGTTCCGCTCCAAGGAGATCTCCAAGTCCAATGTCGTGGATGACATGGTTGAAGCCAACCATATTCTCTACAAGAAGGGCGAGCACCCTGACCATTGCGTCGTGATCAAGTATATGCCCGCTGTCGCCGACAACAAGCGTGCCTTGGATGAGTACTATGCTGAGATTTTCCTCGGTGGTCACCAGACCATTTCGTAAGTTTAACCAGATCTCGTACACGCAAGGTGTTATCCATTGACATTCCCCCCAGGCTGTTCAACATTTGCGAGGACTCTCTGCTAGCCTCGCCCCTGATCATCGACTTGGTTGTCATGGCCGAAATGATGACCCGTATTCAATGGAAGGCTGCCTCCGCCAATGGCTCCGACACTGGCGATTTCAAGAACTTCCACAGTGTTCTCAGCGTCCTGAGCTACATGCTCAAGGCCCCATTGACTCCCCCCGGAACACCCGTTGTCAATGCTCTTGCCAAGCAGCGCGCCGCCGTTACCAACATCTTCCGCGCCTGCGTCGGCCTCGAGCCCGAGAATGACATGACCCTGGAGCACAAGCTTTTCTAAGCTAGTTCCCGCTTGACCTTGGCCTTTTCTAGGCGTCGGACCTAGCGTCCAGTTCCTGTCCTTTCCGAATTGAAATCTGATACATGATGGTCTTCGTCATGAAACACACTCGTTGTCATGAAACACAGTCGTTACCAAGAAACCAATATAGCAAACTAAATAGGTGGATATGCTGCCATTATGCGCTCGCATATACAAATACCAGCTATTTCTCACCTCCCAAAAAACAACACTAGACCAAGTTCGTGACAATATGTGTGATGGAAGAGGCAGTCTCAGATGCCACTCCGAAATAACCAGCCTGGGTAGTCGCTCAAATGCCACTCTGACATAACCTGAAGTATCGTAAAAAAGGGGAATAACCTCAATTTGAAAAACATGTAAATTTTGTATCAAATTCTAATGCTATGTGTCTCGATGGTGTTGGCCAGCTACATGTATACCGTTGAACTATGCAGAGGGAGAATGAGGGGCAACAGCCACTGTGATGGCGCTCCAATCCCTAAGGTGGCTGATGTCCGCTGTAGCGCACGTGATCCAGCCTCCAAGGTGGGTTACGTTTGCCCATCAACCCACAACCGCTACCTAACCAAACCACCAGCTACACTCGATCCTCATAGTAGACCCAGCGATGCGCAAAGCCCAACCGTCAACGGGGCGATCGGCTATTTATATTTAATCCCATACAAGCTGCGTCTTTGCCACAGGTTCTAGGCTTTCAACTCTGGCTGGTGTACTTTCAATCATGCGTACCATTCCGGCTTCGACCTGGCACCAGCCAACCTTGGCTCCGAAAGCCATCGTTGTAATCATCGAGAAATCAGCATTACCTTACGTTTAACTGCCGGTTCATGACCAACGACCGACCGTCATATATCTATCGCGTATTTCGGGCGTGCACTACACCGATACTCGATCCCGGCGGCGGTCACACTGGGACCAGGGCTACAGATTATTCCCTCTATGTTTCTCCATGTCAAGGGACACGGACGAGCGCATCGCTTCCAACCGTCGGTGTTTCTGGAACTCCGACCGTGCTGGTTGCTGTGAGTTTCGATAGTATTTTTCCTAACTAGCTCGCTGGTGACGAATATCTGGATAAGCTATGTCCGGGTGGCCAATTTTTGGTTGGTTTTCCCGCTGTTTAGATCACTGTGTGATAGCGCAGCTGGGATACATACGCCTTGCCCATGCGCTCCCAAATACTCATCCAACCCAGCAGGCCTCCTAGCCGTGACCAAGATTCCTCATCTACGGGGAATTAATAAGTTATTCGAAGGGGAAACAGAGCAAATGCCCTGTGTGAGCTACCCCGCATGGACGGACTGCTGTGCAACTGCGGAAACCTGGATTTTCTCTTTGCCTTCGTCGCCTTTTTTGATGCCTGGCTGTCAGCCTACCTGTCCGTCAACTTGCCCGTCAGACATGTCGGCAATTGCCTCCACTTCTAGAGTGTGTGCTGCATACAGGTTCAGGCGCGTGGCGAGCCTCTTCTCTTTCTGCCATGCTCCAAGTTTGTTCAGAAATTCTCCCAGCAGGCCTCACAAATGATGTTCCTCAGAACAGGCAGTTGAGACCTTGGGTGGAGAGTGGGGGATTCGTAAAATGATCCGGGAGGATCTCGTATATAGTGTGCGTTGATTGACTCACAAGCTCTACTGTCCACCCAGCCTTTGTCCATCACCGGCATGAGAAATGGGGGCAGGGAATTTCTGAGCATGTATTGGTTGCACCAGAGCCAGCAACGACTTGCTCGGTCTTCCCTGGTGGTGCGCTAAGAAGATGGCTCCCACCACGGGCATTTGATGCAGGTTTGGCTTGGCGGCAGTCCGCTGAAGAATGAGGGAGGGGAGGAATGGCTTTCGTCTTTCTGCAAGTGCATTGAGAAACATCGCCTGCCATGGTTTGTTGCTCGGGGCCAGATCCAGCTGCTCCCCTGGTGTAGTCGGCCGGGTCCCTGGCAGTGGCATTTAATCTCGTCTCAGTGGATGACAGAAGGTGTTTGCGACGCCAAAAAGCATCCAAATTCCCACACGTCGCATCTCCCGACAGTGCATTGCCTTTTTTGTCATCATCCGCCAACCAGCACCTCCCTCGTTCCGTTTCTGCAGCTCGCTTCCTTTTCCTCTATTCCTTGACACTCAATAATTTGCCCAACTATTTTCATCGAGCAGCCGCTCTGCTTACTCTGATCTGCCTGTTTCATTGCAAGCAGACACGACCATTCGCAGCCTTGTGCTGGGGGGTGGTGCTCGGCTAAGGTACGGGCATTTAGTTTGGCGACCAACACTAAAAACTCAAATGGGGTGTCGCAATGGGGGATCTCTAGAGCCTCCACTACGTCGCCCTCGACCTGCTGCCATGAGAGACGCTGGGGATAACAATGACCACCGGCAAAGGGCTCGAGTCGGTAGGGGCCTAGATTCCTCGGATCAAGCTGGAACACCTCCTCGCGGGCCCCGCAACAATTTTGCCAATAGAAGCCGTCGACGCAGGCCCGGACGACAAGACCGTGCCTCGAATCCACAGCACCGCTCGACGGACGACCAGCCCGAAGACTATCAACGACAATCCTCCCCCGGTGGCACCCGTCGAGCTGAGAAGAGTAATGACTTGATTCCGCGTTTCAGCGCCAAGTCCCAACGTGATCGAGAGGCTGAGGGCAGGTCTGGTCGCGAGCGTGATCGAAACCTTTCGCCATCGTCATCCAAGCGACAACGAAGCCGGAGCTCCAGCCAGTCCTTCACGGCTTCGCAGCGAAAGAAGCGCAGGGGTTATCAGGGTCATCCTCGCAACAGGAACGACAACCGAGCCGAGCACGGCTTCAAGAGAGGTGGCAGGCCTTCTTCGAAAAATCGCCAGTCGCCTCGCCCGCACGCGTCCCCGTCCCGGGTCGAGAACGCTAATTCTCTGTCCAACCGCCATTCAAGTCCTGTGTCTCCCAGGGCTCCTGAGGACGGTGGCCATTCTGGCGGGCAGGAGTCAAGACGTATAAGGCCAGACCATCATTCACACTCTCGAAGCCCATCCCCAACGGGTGACGATCGCCACGCGTCCAGGAACTCCCGCCGGTCATCATTTGAACGCTACCAGCAGCCGCACACTGCTACCACAGAGGTCCCACCAAACACGGAAGAGGGTGACCATCATCCCGAGGACTCTAGGGCTCATACGTCTGACTCACCCCCGATCCATCCAGACCGAAGGCGTCGGGGTGAAGCCCACAGACCCAATAGTCCGCCCCAGCCAGAGTTTAATGATAAGATGGGCTCGCAGGCATCACACAGAAGAGGGCACCATCCCAAATACTCTCAAAAACAATCCTACCGTGGAGATTCCCGCCCCTACCCCCCTTCCCCTCCCCGTGTAGGTTCATACCACGACTCACCTTCGCAGTCATCATTTGGACCCAGACGAGGCAGTTGGGGTGGTGCATCGTACTCGCCCCCACAGTAAGTCGACATGCAATTTCCGGCAATTGACTTTTGCTAATATATGATCCAGTCAATATCCATACAACGAAGGTTCAGGTTCCTACCCGCCATCTGGCGGCCCACCAGGATATTATCATCAAAATCCTCCTCGCTCACCCTCGTACCCAGGGCCGCCATCAGGGAATCACCGCGGGCATCGAGGCGGGTCCCGGGGTGGTGCCCTTTATCAAGGGCGGAACCATCGAGGATCTAACTATAAGAATGGGAACTTCGGTCCCGGCAATCATTCACAATCCTCGCGAGGTCACTATTCGCAAGAGGAGCCCCACGAAGATGATGAAATACATGTGGAGGACGAACCTACGAACGGCGACTGCGAAACAAACGAGGACACTTTTCGACCACAGGATGAAGAAGAAGGAGCTTCCAATCAGGGGGATCAATCAACAAGTATTCCCCGGGGGCCATCAGGCCGACCACCGCCAACCGGGCCAAGTAGGCAATCGAATTCGTCAGCCAAGTTCAGCTTCGCCTTCAAGGCATCAAAGCCTACCGCCACTGCCCCGAAACCCGAAATCTCACAGAAGTTCAATGCCGCTCCTCAGCGTGATAAGGAGTCAAGTAAATCAAATCAGCAACCCCAACATGACCCGGCACCGCCAAGATATGCGCCTACTGAGCCAGCATCCGCGCGTCACCGTAATGAAGGCAGAGGAGGTCCACCCGACGGGTCCAGGGACGGGCCAAGGGCTGCACCCAGAATGCGAAAAGTGAGAAAAATCATACGAAGACCGAAAATCCGCCCGGGTCTCCCCCAAGAGCTGGAAACATCCAGCTCCGTCTTCTTTAGGAAACCTGGCAATGAGTCCGTCGTAGGCTCTGGCACATATGGCAAAGTTTTCAAAGGTTTGAATGTCTATACCAAGGGCCTGGTCGCCCTCAAGCGCATACGCATGGAAGGAGAGCGAGATGGTTTTCCGGTCACTGCCGTGCGCGAGATCAAGCTACTCCAATCTCTTCGGCACACAAACATAGTCAACCTGCAGGAGGTCATGGTTGAGAAGAACGACTGTTTCATGGTGTTTGAATATCTATCCCATGATTTGACGGGCTTGCTGAATCACCCGACTTTCAAGATGGAGCCCGCACAGAAGAAACACATGGCCAAGCAATTGTTTGAAGCGCTTGATTACCTACATACGAGAGGGGTCCTTCATCGTGACATCAAAGCCGCCAATATTTTAGTGAGCAACGAAGGCGTGTTGAAACTTGCTGATTTTGGCTTGGCCCGCTTCTACGCCAAGCACCACCAGCTTGACTACACCAACCGAGTCATCACGATATGGTACCGATCACCAGAGCTTTTGCTGGGAGAGACGAAATATACTGCCGCTGTGGATGTTTGGAGTGCCGCCTGCGTCATGGTTGAAATCTTCACGCGGCACGCCATCTTTGCAGGTGATGGGACAGAGCTCAGTCAATTGGATAAGATCTACAACATTCTTGGCACCCCAAACCGGCAAGATTGGCCTGGCCTTGTAGATATGGCATGGTTCGAACTTCTCAGACCAACTGCGAGGAGGAGGAATGTATTTGCAGAAAAGTACGGGGAGCGCGTCACGCCCGCCGCGTTCGACCTCCTCTCCGCCATGTTTCGATACGACCCAGCTGCTCGTCCAACCGCGGCCGAGGTCCTGCAGCATCCCTACTTTACCACAGAAGAGCCGCTACCGAAGCAAGCGCTTGAGTAAGTTACCCACGTCATGCTCTTAAAAGGTTTTGCAATTTGTTTCAAGACGACAGCTATACTAACATACATCTCAACAGGCTGAAGAGTATCGACGGAGACTGGCACGAGTTCGAGTCCAAAGCCCTGCGCAAAGAGAACGAGAGGCGGGATCGCGAGGCTCGCAAGGCCACTAAGGATGCTGCCGCTGCTAGTCGTGCGAGGGATAAGAAGCGAGCGCACGACAGTATCGACCAATCGCGAGACCCAAAGAGGGTACATGTGGATGCAGTGACAGACGATGCCGCCCCAGTGACGGCCGTCGAAAACGTCCCGGAGACATCTAACCTTGAGGAGCACTAAAATCGTCAGGCGGCGTTGTATGGAACAAGCAGAAAAAAAGTCACACCTTGGGAGGGGGGATAATTTCGGGTCCTACGATACCCGTCGCATTATGGCGGCAAGGGAGGGGGGTTGGTAGTTTGTTTATGCCAGTCGACATACCTGTTTCTAATTGTTGAGGGTTCTTATACGGCGTTGCGAAATCCTTGGGGATGGGGGTGCTTTGAATCGGATCACATCAGCATCGTATGGCGGGATTGTTTTAATGCCAGTACCTATATCTATTATGCCAGTTCAAGTAGTCCTACTTTTCGGGCTAGCACATATCTTAAATAATGTGGAATCATCTGCCACTGATCGTTCGCAGCCATTCTGAGATATATATATGTATACCGACAAGAAATGAAGTCGTAATAGCCTCCATCAGTCTACCCATCCGTAGTCCCGCACGGGGACAGTCATCATCCATCGAAACTTCAATATTTCCAACACGAAGGTGCCCAGGATGGCTAGATCGGCGAGTTTGCTTCTCCCGTCCTCCTCGTTTTGTAAACCGATTTGTTTTCGTCATGAGTCATGTAAGTCATAAATTCATAAGTAGGGCGGGATATGTTCATCATGGCGGCTCTGATATGAGATACCGCACGCCGGTTTCCCTGCCATGGTGACGAGCCGCTTAATTCTGCTCGCGCATGATCATAAAAATGAAATAGAAAACTCCCTTTGCTGTAACAGTCCAGCCGTCTGGCTCTAACTTAAAGACCACCAGACATCTTTCAAAAAGAATTCTCATTGGCCTTGCCTTTAACATCCGTGTTACGGAGAATGCTTCGGAGGCTTCCTTCGGCGCGCCCTGAGGACTTGTTTGATGCGTCAGATGACTTCCAAGGTATCCAATTCCCAAAAGAAGTCAACAGGCTGGAATCTTGGTCAAGATATGATACTGCGCCCTTGGCGGCCACAGGTCTCCCAATGCTCTGCTGACCAGAAAGCAAACATTGCCGGTCGCGCTGAGAGTCTGGTCCTGGAGCCGAGCCTTCAGCCTTGGTGCGAATTTCAAGCTGGCTTGTTGAGGCCTGGGGGAGGGCAGGCTCGCTAATTAGAGCACCCGAAGAGTTCCGGGGAGAAGACGAGTCCGCTGGTGCCGAACTTTGACCTGTGCCATCTATAAGAGCCAGAGACATTGACTTTTTTCGTGGCATTGCCTTTTTTGGTCCTTTGTCGTCTTGGCCACGGTTCTCCAATGCGTCGCTATGCATAGAACTGGTTGGTGTTGTGGTTGCTGACTCCCTCCTAGCGGTCCGGCCACGAACCTGGTCTGCGAGCTCAGCAGCCGACTTCTTCTTGGATATCTCGTCATCGGACGACCGGCTGGATGATATGATTGTTTCCAAAGTTCCCATAGCCCTACTGCTGGGACGCGCGCCATGCCGCCTTCTACGATTCCGCTTCATATTCTGTTCGTCATCGGCTGACACAACTTGAAGTGTTGGGCCCTGAGTATCTTGACCAGAACCAGGACCTTCAATAAAAGAAGAGCCTGAACCATGTGGGGCGTAATGAACCTCATACTGGTTGCTAAGAGAATATCTCGACTTGGCACAGATCTCTGCAATACGATCCAAATCGGCGTTGATGTCGGATCGCCCTTCTTGAGGTTCGATATTGGAGATGAAGTTTTTGAAGCTGAACGCGTCTACAGGTGGAAGCCTTGCCTCACTATGAGCATCTATGGCGAGCTTGCTCTCGCGAGCGCGGACCATTCGACTCAACATCCCAGTCCCGGCTGATGAAATTGCTGCAAATGGTAGGACTGATCTTTCTGAAGTGGTAGAGCCCCCCCGTTGAGGGATAGTTCCGGAACTAGGATTATGGAAGTTATTGGCAGGACGGTTCGGTACGGGAGAGTAGTAACTGCGAACGATGACTGGTTCTGAATATGTACTACTCTGAGCTCCAGATGATTTAGCGTAGCGATGTCGACTTGGAAAATTGTTGTTGAGCTCTCTCAGGGCAGATGTACGGTGCTGGGCAGTCGAGTCGTCAACAGGAATAGGCTTGCCCTCGGCAGTAGATGGTACAAGGCTCGTAGAGGAAAGATTGGCTTGGTGCGCTCGAATGAAGGAGTAGGGAAAGGCACTTTGGCGAGAATCGGCGGCCGGGCGGCTTATGGAAGAGGAGGCATCAGATGAGTTTCGTTGATGCTGTCGATGAGGTCGTGTTTGAGGAGGTGGGGAGGGAGGAGACTCGTATGGCTGATCTGAAGACATGGCGATGAGTGCCACCGAGGCCGTTTATACACTTTTGCGTGGCAGGGTCCCGTGCTAGGGTCGAGATGTCTTTGACTAGAGGAGGGGAAACTGGCGGGTCATCAAGAGTGACGTCGGTGTGTCGGTGTTGTGCTGTCTTGCAGGGGCATCGCTGGCCAGTGTCCGCGTCAGTGTTGTGATATTCGTATCGTGGAAAGACAGGATGTATAAGAAATCCTGCCGCCAGCAGCAGTGTCTCGAAGCTTCTGCTGAAACCGGAAACAAGTAAAGTCTCTAGCAATAGACCGGGGCGGAAACAACGAGCCGACAATGTAACAACAGGCAAGAGCCAAATCTGGAGAGACCGCCGTGCGAACTGTTTGCCGGGGTATGGCAATCGACGGAGTTGCAAGTATGGAGTAGTATGTATTAGATACGACGACACTTTTGTCGAGGATTTGGGGAAGTCTTAGACAGACGACGACGGGGTTCTGGGGGTGGCAGTTGAGGGTGGGGCGGGGGAGCTTTGGTCGGGGGCACAGCAAAGGGACGGTGCTAATTTAACATTGGCCCAGAAACTGGCCAACGAGGAGGCGCGGAAAGCCACGAGACATGGGGGGACAAGAGACGACGGGCGAGGATTGGCACGACTTTCGACGAACGAGAGACGGCCAATATTGGGAGGGAAGCGGAGGTGTTTGATGCAAAGTGTCGTGGCTGCCGATGACTCGCAAACAGCAACAAGAGCCGGACAGGGCCAGTGGAAATGGTTGTTTTTTGGGAGGGGCGGAGATGCCCCGCTCTGTCTCCAATTGGCTGCTTTGAATGGCTGGACACGGTTTGCTGGCGAGACGGTCCAGGGTCGTTCCCTGTCTCTGCCCTCTACCACATCCAGTATGGATTGATTCTTGTGCCTGTGGCTAGTCAGAACCAGCAGGCGAGACGAGCTAATAAGCTTCGCAAGGGCGCCAAGGCAAGATGGCAAGCAGGCAAGCAGGAAGCTGTCGCTGATGGGGGCGAATTCATTCATCAACAGCGAGCGCTGCTGTCGGGAGAGACCAGCCCAAAAGTCCCGTCCCCTGTTCCACCTGCCGCCGCTCCTTCTTCCGAGTACAGCTTCGGCCGTGCTGGATGCTGTGCTTGCTTGCTGTCTGGTGTGTTGTCGTTCCTGTACGTACTACATGGGAGGTGGGGTTTGGTGTCAACCACCGAATACGACCTGTCGTCCGGGCCCAGCTGTACAGAGAATTTGGCTCTTCAAGTAGCAGGTCCAAGTCATGCTATTGATCATTGCCTGGCGTGTACTTAACTGTATGCAAGTAATGTATTGTACGTGTACGCAATCGGTCCATCCCAGTAATACTTGCGTCTTGCTATTGCCTCCAGATAGTATTACGGCTTTCCTGATCAGCATCCTATTCACCGAGTACCTACTTGGCAGCAGCGAATTGCACTTTCGTCTGTTTCATTCTTTGCTTTCGTGACGCAGGCCCCTTCCAGAACGGCAAGTGCCCAATCTTCTGCGTGGTGAAATTCATGCGGCTCGGACGAGAACCCACTATACATGCCAGAGCAACAGATGCCCATATCTCGCCTTGCTGGCCCCTCTCAGCATTCAGCTGTTCGGGATGGATGGATATCTTTTCTCCCCGCTAGATCGAGGGGAAATATTGTTATCGACATCCATGGATGCTACAAGGCTTAGAAGACAACGGTGGTATGTGTTGCGGGGCCGCGGAAGCAAGCCTGGTTAATTCGGTTTGTATGTAGTACAACCTTGGATCCTTCGAACAGATACCCGGAAGTTCTCGAGGGGTCCTTTTCGACCCTCCACTACATCTTCGTAAGTACTACCTATGTATGCGAGCGCCTCTTCCCCCTTCCCCCCGGTTTCACTCATATATACCCCCTCGTGGGTGTAGGTACGCCACGTACACGGTGTGCTATGCCACGTTGTCTTTCAGGTCTCGATTGCAGCAGGGGTGTTGAGACGAGACATTGTTCTGTGCGGTCCCCTTTGTGATCGGCGGCACGCTGACACTCGCCGATGAGGTGTGCACCGGTCTGACCCCTCCTGGAGATAGCAGCCTCAAGGTGAGACTTGTATAGTGTGAATAGGATCCTGGGAATCCCGGTTATTGTATCCAAAATAGTCAAATCATTTGTTTTCTCCTCCTTCTCCCCAATTAGCGTCCTTGGCGAGGCGGTTTGTAATGAACGAGGGTCAATCACCCACCATGTTACAAAGACACACCAAGAGCAATTGATCAGGCCATATGCTTTATTTACAACAACCGAGTAGTATCTCAGTGGATGCCATGAATTGGATAAAAAAAATCATGAACTATAGATCAGATATGGCTAACTTAACATTACAGGGACTTGGGAGAAAAAGAAAAAGGCTATGGTCGGCGAGGTCATTTGTTTGAGACCCGGCTGGGTCACCCGGAAATGATACCTTCCGGAATCCTAGATCTCGCCAGAACACCGGTGCTCATCTCGTTCCATGGGTAAATGTGTTCAGCGTATTGGCTGAGCCATGGTACCGTACCCCACGCCACCTGTCTGGACGCGATCAGAATACACACCAGGTGCTCTGCGCATCGCAGTGTTGCCGTGGTGCATCTGCTCTCGCCGGTCGTAGTAGACGAACAGAAGGTAAAATGCGTGAATGTGCCCAGGGATATATCCAAGGAGGGTGAGGCAGATATTGATAAGAAGGTCTGGGCGTCGGGTTAGCAATTCGACTAAGTGAGCGCGGAATATCGCGTA